TTGGACACAAAGCTGAATGCTATAGTGACTTTCTCACTTTTGCCTGGGAAAGGAGAGGGGCCTCGTGCTCACTTTCATCACGATCAACTCTGAAACTGGAAACTTGTTATGCCCTCCGATCCCTGGACTATGGACAGAGTTACTGTGAGAGCATCTGATGGAGGTTCTCCTTCCTTGAGCACAGAAGTGATTGTCCGAATCCACATCATTGATGAAAACTGACAACGCTGCCTTCTTCCTGTGTCCCCTACAGGACAAAATCCATCCCCATGCAATTGTTGTGGCCTGCTGGTGGCCAGCAGAACTGGCAGCAGAGTCGGACAGTGAGGAGGTTGGGGAGGAACTTGGGCCAGTCCTAGGGGCTGGGGAAAGCTTGGACGAGGGCTCTGCATCGGAGGCAGAGAGGGGGGCCAAGGCCATCTGGTAGTTCTTTGCTGCCTCCGGAGTCTCCAGAGTCTGACAGCAGCGAGGCAGAAGAACAGCATCAGCCTGTTCCCAGAATGCGCATGCGCAGAGCTGCCAGGACACAGGACCAATTAAGAAAACAGGGTCGACTTGGGAGTAAGGCTTGGAGATGATTGGCTCCTCCCATAAGAAATAAAAGAGAAGTGAATGGGACGTGAGCTTTTGCAGGAAGCAATTAGTTCATCTGGTTGATAAAAGCTCTGGAAAAGTTCTGTTTGACTCTGTGCTAAGTTTGGCCTTGCCCTGCATTTGGCAATTAGTTCTCTGGCAGCATTCCAAGGGAGATAAGGTGAGTGTTTGTAAACACTCCCCTGCAAGACTGTTTGAGAAGCCTTTTGGACTGGGAATGACAATAATTCATAGCCGTATGAATTAAAGAGGTTTGCCGGGGACTAAGTTTGTGCTGTATACTGTCTAAGGAAGCCTACGTCAGAACAGTCTTCTCTCTGCTTGGAAAGCCTATGCTTGTAGTCCTCAATGAGGTGCTTCTGCTGAGCCGCCTCCTCGGCCGGATCCAAATTGAACTGAGCCAGCTGTTTTGCCAACTCCTTCTCATGGTGGCTGCTTAACTCCAACAACTGCCTCCTGTAGGGGGCCTAAGGAGCCCAGGCGGGGAGGCAAGGAGTGGTTGAGAGGAGAGGAGCGAGTAGAGGCCAGCAAGGCACACCTCAACATGAGTGACATCGAGCTGGCCATGCCCACCCAGTCACATGACCACTTACCCACGCCCACCCAGCCGGCCATTAGGCAGTTCATCTTGGAAACCAGCAATGAGCTGGTTCCCAAGTCAGCCGAGGCAAGCTATCTGATCACCAAGGTGGTTTGCAATGCATGCAGTTTCTGGCCACAACTCTTGGCTTTTTTATGAATTAATGAAGGCCATAGATCCAGCCCTTTTCAGCATAGGAGTGCAGAATGGGAATGTGAAAATCAAGAGAGCCCTGAATGAGCGAGACACAAACAAAGAAACAGAGACTGGTGATACTAGTCAGAGACAACGGTCCTTCCTCCACAGATCAGCACTGCGTTGCTTTAATGTTTTCAAAGGAAATGAGAGGTCTGGTCAGTTACATGATCAGATGAAGAGAAATGGCTAACAAAAACCTTGATGGTCTGACTAGGTGGCTCAGTGGCTAAGACACTGAGCTTGTCGATCAGAAAAGTCAGAAGTTCAGCAGTTCGAATCCCTAGTACAGTTCTCTGTGGGCAGGGGGTTGGACTAGATGACCTCCAAGGTCCCTTCCACCTCTGTTACTGTTACTTTTCACATCCTTGGTGGTAAAATCCACTTGTCATTTTCTGCTTCCCTTTAAAGCTGCGTGAAATTTAACAAGAGACAATAAACCAATTAGAAACGTTAACTGAATGAACGCATCCTCTACCCTTAGATACGTAGATTTATATCTGGATGCAAATAACATTTCCTAGGCAAGAGATTTAAAAGCTTCAAATAAAGCATGATTTTTTAAAAAAAAAACAAAAAATCCAGCTGTGCCAGCAGTCCAATAGAGTTGAAGACCAAAAAGTCTTGTTTTCCTTCCAATGAAAAAGGTTGCGATTCCCACCCAAAGGCGCTTTTTCAACTGGACTTTCTGCTTTTTTGTTCGAAGACATTTCGCTTCTCATCCAAGAAGCTTCTTCTGCTCTGTTACTCCCACACTATTCAAAGGGTGTTCATTTTAAAGCGCATAGCTAATTGTCTATGGAGCTTCTCAGTCATCCAGGGCATGGTTTTCCCAAAGGGGCTTTTTTCAAGAGGCAACTGGACTTTTTTTGGTTTTTCTTCGTTTCTTTGACATTTCGCTTCTCATCCAAGATTCATCCAAGGTTCTGCAACCCAACAAGACAGACACAGACTTCAGAGGATAATGAGAACTGCAGAAAAAACAATGGCTACCAACCTGCCTTCCCTTGAGGGCCTGTATCCTGCACGAGTCAAAAAGAGGGCTGTGAAAATATTTACAGACCCCTCGCATCCTGGACATAAATTCTTTCAACTTCTACCCTCAAAACGACGCTATAGAGCACTGCACCCCAGAACAACTAGACACAAGAACAGTTTTTTCCCAAATGCCATCACTGCTAAACAAATCATTCCCTCAACACTGTCAAACTATTTACTAAGTCTGCACTACTATTCATCTTCTCATCGTTCCCATCACCCATCTCCTTCCACTTGACTGCATGACTGTAACTTTGTTGCTTGTATCCTTACGATTTATACTGACTGTTTCCTAATATGATTTGATTGCTTATTTGTACCCTATCACTGTCATTGTTGTACCTTATGATTCTTGACGAATGTATCTCTTCTTTTTGTGTACACTGAGAGCATATGCACCAAAGACAAATTCCTTGTGTGTCGAATCACACTTGGCCAATAAAGAATTCTATTCTAAAAAAAATTCTATTCTATTCTATTCTATTTCTATTCTATTCTACTCTACTCTATTCTCTATATTCTATTCTATTCTATTCTACTCTATTCTATTCTCTTTATTCTATTCTATTCTATTCTGTTCTATTCTACTCTATTCTATTCTCTATATTCTATTCTCTATATTCTATTCTATTCTATTCTATTCTCTATATTCTATTCTATTCTATTCTACTCTACTCTATTCTCTATATTCTATTCTATTCTACTTTATTCTATTCTCTTTTCTCTATTCTATTCTATTCTACTCTATTCTATTCTCTATATTCTATTCTCTATATTCTATTCTATTCTATTCTACTCTATTCTATTCTCTTTTCTCTACTCTACTCTACTCTATTCTATTCTATTTCTATTCTACTCTACTCTATTCTCTATATTCTATTCTACTCTATTCTATTCTCTATATTCTATTCTCTATATTCTATTCTATTCTATTCTATTCTACTCTACTCTATTCTCTATATTCTATTCTACTCTATTCTACTCTATTCTATTCTATTCTATTCTATTCTATTCTACTCTATTCTATTCTCTTTTCTCTACTCTACTCTACTCTACTCTACTCTATTCTCTTTTCTCTATTCTATTCTATTCTATTCTATTCTATTCTATTCTACTCTATTCTATTCTATTCTACTCTATTCTATTCTCTTTTCTCTACTCTACTCTACTCTACTCTATTCTCTTTTCTCTATTCTATTCTATTCTATTCTATTCTACTCTATTCTATTCTCTTTTCTCTACTCTACTCTACTCTACTCTATTCTCTTTTCTCTATTCTATTCTATTCTATTCTATTCTATTCTACTCTATTCTATTCTCTTTTCTCTACTCTACTCTACTCTACTCTATTCTCTTTTCTCTATTCTATTCTATTCTACTCTACTCTATTCTCTTTATTCTATTCTATTCTATTCTATTCTATTCTATTCTATTCTATTCTATCTACTCTATTCTATTCTATTCCCTTTTCTATTCTATTCTATTCTACTCTACTCTATTCTCTTTTCTCTATTCTATTCTATTCTACTCTATTCTATTCTATTCCTTTTTCTATATTCTATTCTATTCTACTCTACTCTATTCTCTTTATTCTATTCTATTCTATTCTCTTTTCTATTCTATTCTATTCTATTCTATTCCTTTTTCTATATTCTATTCTATTCTACTCTATTCTCTTTATTCTATTCTATTCTATTCTATTCCTTTTCTATATTCTATTCTATTCTATTCTATTCTCTTTATTCTATTCTATTCTCTTTTCTCTATTCTATTCTATTCTCTATTCTCTATTCTATTCTATTCTATTCTATTCCCTTTTCTCTATTCTATTCTATTCTACTCTATTCTCTTTATTCTATTCTATTCTCTTTTCTCTATTCTATTCTCTATTCTCTATTCTATTCTATTCCCTTTTCTATATTCTATTCTATTCTACTCTACTCTATTCTCTTTATTCTATTCTATTCTATTCTCTTTTCTATTCTATTCTATTCTATTCCTTTTTCTATATTCTATTCTATTCTACTCTATTCTCTTTATTCTATTCTATTCTATTCTATTCTATTCTATTCTATTCTATTCTACTCTACTCTATTCTATTCTCTTTTCTATTCTATTCTATTCTATTCTATTCTATTCTATTCTATTCTATTCTATTCTATCAAGAAGCTTGAAAAAAATGCCTCTTTTAAAAAAAGCACCTTGGATGACTGAGAAGCTCCATAGACATGTGCCATTCCCACCAAGCTCCAGCAGGGGCCGCTGTGCGGACGCGAGACTCTTCCCTCCCCCGTTTGCTTTCCAAACGCTGGTTGCTGGGGCGACCCGAAGAGGAAGTCGCCCGTCCTCCGCGCGCCATTTTCAAACGGCTCCTTTGGTCCGTCCCGCTGGCTTTTCGTCGTCGTCGGCGCGGCGGGAGGAGGAGGAGGAAAGAAAGGGGCAAGCAGCTCGACTCAAAGGCCGCCCTTCCCTCCCAGGACTTGACGAGGGGCGAGGCGCGGGAGACAGCAGCGAAGGCCCTCCCGCCTCCGAACGAGGCCGCGGGCCCCGTTTCCATGACGACGTGGATGACGTTGGAAGGATGACGTCGCCCGGCTGGAAGTAGCGCCCGAAGGGTGGGGGGGGGCGTCAAGCGAAGCGAGTTAGGCCTTGAGAGCGAGCGGGGCGCCTGGGGAGGCCCCAGCAGGTTGGTGCGGTTGTAGCCAAGCTTCCCCAAGGACCCTCCCCAGGCTAATGGGCTGCCAGGTGTTTCAACCAGCCCCTCTTTTAAACCCTCGTCTCCAGGACGTCCCTTTATGCAGCCTTCACCTCCCCTCTTCCTTTCTACTCTGCCTCCTTCGCTTCTGTATTCATCCCTTTATTGCAGGAGTCTCCAACCTTGGCCGCTTTAAGCCTGGCGGACTTCAACTCCCAGAATTCCCCAGCCAGCTTTGCTGGCTGGGGAATTCTGGGAGTTGAAGTCCGCCAGGCTTAAAGCGGCCAAGGTTGGAGACTCCTGGCTTTATTGCATAATATGCTTTCCAACAACTCTGTGGCAGGTAATTTCTAGAAGCAGCCTCGGCGCTTAGGAATGGCAGGTCCCTTGGACGGTGTTTTATTTATATTAAATATTATATATATATATGTGTGTGTGTGTGTATAGTTAATATTTCGGGTTTCTTCCCATGTAATTGTGAACATATCCCTAAAAGGGTAGAAGCGACGTTTCGACAGAATCTCATCTGCCATCATCAGGCTTATGTGAGGGGTCTTTTGCAGTAACTTTACTGCAAAAGAATTACACGGGAAGAAACCCGAAATATTAACTATACACACATATATACCCGTGAAGGCTTACATATGTGTGTGTGTGTGTGTGTGTGTGTGTTTTTCTTTCTTTTTCGTAGGTTTTATGTGTGTTTCTCTTTAGCCAGGTTCCACCTATGTAAACCAATATGTTATGCAGCCCTAGTTCAGTGAAATCATAATTCACTAGTTTCTTAGTTTCCCAATGGGCAGCAAAGGGTCTGCTGGCTGCCAGAAGAGAAGAGGAAAAAAAAAAGCCCAGAAACTAGTGAATTGTGATTTCACTGAACTAGGGCTGCATAACATCTTGGTTTACGTAGGTGGAAACTGGCTAAAGAGAAACATATCTATATCTATCTATCTATCTATCTATCTATCTATCTATCTATCTATCTATCTATCTATCTAAAACACCGTCCAAGGGACCTACCATTCCTGAGCTATATATATATATATCCAGAGAATATATATTTTCCAGTGGTGAAATTTAAAATTTTTGACTACTGGTTCTGTAGGCATGGCTTGGTGGGCGTGGTGTGGCTTGGTGGGCATAGCAGGGGAGGATACTGCAAAATCTCCATCCCCACCCCACTCCTGGCGGAAGGATACTGCAAAATCTCCATCCCCACCCCACTCCTGGCAGAAGGATACTGCAAAATCTCCCTCCCAACCCACTCTGGGGCCAGCCAGAGGCTGTATTTGCCGGTTCTCTGAACTACTCCAAATTTCCACTACCAGTTCATTCGGAACCTGTCAGAACCTGCTGGATTTTACCCCTGATATATATTCGCTCTGGTCCTTTAATCCAAGACAGAAATGACATGCGTCCTTATTTTCTCTCACAAGAGCTTAAATAGTATTTGAACTGGTGGTTTTTGTGAAATGACTTTTTTTTTGGTAACTAGTATGTCCCAAAGATGTTTTTTTTTTCCCAAGAGGCAACTGGACTTTCTTGTTTTTCTTTTTCTTTGAAGCTTCTCGGGTGGGAAGCGAAACGTCTTTAAAGAAGCTTCTTGGATGAGAAGCGAAGCACCTTCAAAGACGCTTCTTGGATGAGAAGTGAAATTGTCTTCAGAAGCTTCTTGGATGAGAAGCGAAGCATCTTCAAAGAAGCTTCTTGGATGAGAAAGCAAAACAGCTTCAGAAGCTTCTTGGATGAGAACAAAATCGTCTTCAGAATCTTCTTGGATGAAATGTGAAATTGTCTTCAAGAAGCTTCTTGGATGAGAAGCAAAACGTCTTCAGAGAAGCTTCTTGGATGAGAAGTTAAATGCCTTCAGAAGCTTCTTGGATGAGAAGCGAAACATCTTTTTTAGAAAAGGAAAACCAGAAAGCCCAGTTGCCAATTGAAAAAGCACCTTTGGGACAACTATGACTTGGATGATTGAGAATCTCCATAGACATTTAGCTATGTACTTTGGGATGAACTAGTATGAATCTCTTCTGTAAGTCAAGGTCTATCTGTAGTGGTTAAGGTGCTGGCCTAGAAACCAGGAGACTGCAAGTTCTAGACCTCCTTTAGTCATGAAAGCTGCTGGATGACTTTCAGCCAGTTGCGCTCTCTGAACTCACAGGATTGTTGTTGTGGGAAAATGGGAGGCAGAGGCATGTTCACGCCTTGAGTTATGTATAATAAAAAATAAAAAGATGATGATAAAGTATTGGTGCTAATAATACTATATGTTATTAGTGTTACTATAGCCAGGTGTGACTGTCGTTTCATTATATCAGGGTTCTGTTTGGATCCACACCTTCCCCTGTTGACTTCATTTACTAATTTGAATTGCCAGAATACCATTCCCATCTTTGCAATGAATTCACTCAGTGCTGGCAAGCATGTGATTTGGTCTATAAATTAATGTTATAAGTGCATGGTAATTTGTATAGGTTTAATTATTTACTGGTCCCCTTTTTGAACCCATTTTTTTTTGTTTATAGAGAATCTTCACAATGACTACAGTGGTAGAGCGGAAGTTTGTTAATTTAAGGAAACGATTGGATCAGTTGGGATATCGACAACCACTAGGAGTAGAAAGTTTGCCTCTGGTGGAAAAACTTTTCAGGTATTAAAAAAGGAATAGAAAAAAAATGCTTGGAACAGTGCAATTCTTTATGGAAGAGGACCCAGTTTAGCAATTTATAAAGTATTATTATTCCTTTTTGCAGGAAGGATGTAAGATTTTTCTTGTGCATCTTTTTTAGAGCTAAATTAATATGAACCTATTGTTTTGCATGCACATTGAGAAAGAAAACATTAGAATTGATTAGTAATCAAAATATATGGTTACTATTTATTATGTGGTGATTCAATAGAATACTTGTAGGAAATTATAAATACAGTTTCAATATTCCGTATTTTGATTATTTCTTTTATTAATTTTAGTGACCTTGTTCATACAACTGAGAGCCTCCGGAGCACGAAGTTATCTGCTGGAAAAATTGAAAAAGAATGCAGTAACTTTGATGTTGTTCTGGAACCTTATCGAGAAGAAAATGCTAGGCTCACACGTGAAAATAATGAATTGCACTTAGAAGTTCTGAAATTGAAAGAGCAATTGGAAGATCAGGTCAAAGGTAATACAATTTTTTTAAAAAAAAAATAAAATCTACCTTAGATTTTGCAGTTTGTTTTTGCTATCTGTTTTTAACTAAATATTGTCCCTAAATCTGCACATTTTCTACCTTGATGCTACACCTAAGGGTTTTGTTAAAGATAAATAACATCTCCTATTCCCCTCTTCCATACCAAGCTCAAAGGGGAAACAGCAGTACCACACTTACTTTTTTCAATTTTCAGTTAATTTGGAAGAAAATGAAAGTAGAGGCTAAATTCTGGTTATACAATTAAATTTCATTTAAAAGATCAGGAAACCACTGAATTTTTTTTGTGCAAGCAGATTCAGACCAGGAATCTGGAAACAGTTTTTAAGAAACTATTTTTGAGCTAAACATTAATCTGGTGTCTGTAAATACAGAAAGTCCTCATTTACCAACAGTAATTGGACCGGAAACGCCATTGCTGACTGATGTCATATGTCACGATGTTAAGTGACCGTGCCAAATTATTATGGCCATTCTAGCAATTTAAGTTGGTGCTGGTAAGCAAATTGCAAGTAGTCGCAGCATCTCTATTTGCTGGCTTCCCCATTGATTTTGCTTGTTGAAAGCTGGCAGTGAAGTTTTCGTATGGTGATTGTGTGACCATGGGATGCTGCAGTGTCATTGCAAGCCAGTTGCCAAGCTGACCGTTGAAACTTCAAATGGTGGCTAAATGGATGGGACTTAAACAAAGGCAGCCGTATATTGTACAGAATTAACATTTTAAATGCACAAATTTTGTAAGAGAAATAAAACCACTTCATATAATTCCCTGGACATTAAGCAAATACGATGGTTATTAGGAGCGCTCCCTGTTTTGGCTGGAAGCCAGAAGTAAATGTTGATTTCTGGCAAAAAATGTCATAAATTGTACTCATGTGACTATGGAGCGTTGCAAACAACCATAAATGTGAGCTGGTTGCCAAGTGTTCAAAATGCAATCAGAAGATGAGGAAGGGGAGGCGATGTCAGAACTCTGAAACCAGGTTGTAAGTCTCTTTTGAGGGGGAATCTGTCATAACTTCTAATGGGTATTAAGTTGAGGAATACCTTCCATTAAATCATTGATAATGCCAGTGATTTAATTCTTGCTTAACAATTTTGTCATCATAATGAATGCAATATTTTTGGAGTCCTGAGCATGTATACTCAATATGAGAGGCTCATAGAATGAATGCTCTAGTAGTCTAATCTGTTAAAATGGTTGCAGCAGGTCATGCAATATTCCTTTGCTTTTCTCCATATTGTCTACAGCAGCGCCCCCCCCCTCAACCTTTGGGCACCAGGGACTGGTTTTGTGGAGAGAGGTTTTTCAATGGACCGGAAGGGGCGTGGTTTTGTGTGCTGCCTGCATTCCATGGATGGGGCTTTGCTTGTTTGCATGGACCAGTTTCTGGCATGCTGCGGCCCAGTGCCGGTCCATAGACCTGGTCTACAGCTCCACGAATGTCCTCTACTTTTCTTTCCTTTCTTTCTCACCAAGTGGGCTGTTTCAAATACCATTCTTATTTCTTAACAGTGCTGCTCTTCTGCTGTTCTTGGAAATAGACATTTCCAACATTTTGTGTTTCAACGTGCTAGCTTCCTATTCATTTTTTATTTTTTAAAAAATTCCAGATGGAACAAAGAATTTGGGGGTTATTAAGGGTGATGACTGTATACATGACTGTTAGCATACTGTTGCCTATGATTATGATCAATAATCATAAATATGTCAATGTAATTTGAGGATGCTGCTGCTGCTTTCTGTTCAGTCATGTCCAATTCTTGGTGATTCTGTCCACCAGCGCTCTTGTGTGCGTTTTCTCTCTCTCCGCTAAACATTTTCTGATCTTGCATGACTTCTTTCAGTTGTTCTGTGCTCTGCCTGGTGTTGGCTTTGATAATGTCCAGATGCCATTTTTGGCAGCTTTATAATAATTAAATAATACAAGAAAATAGTTTTTGAAGCATTTCTTATTGTTAGCCTTGTGCAGTTAAAACAGAAGCATGGAATCAAATTGTTTCCTCCTTACAGATTTGAAAGCTACTTTGAGAAAATTTGAACATGAGAATTCAGATATGAAATTTTTGAATAATCAGTATATACATAAAATGAGGTCATTAGAAAAAGAAAACAAAGCCAAGACTGACAAAATTCAACAGCTTCAAGAGAAAAATCTACAAGCTGTGGTACAGACGACGAGGTACAGTGACAACCTATGTGCTCACCATTCTGGTCTGATGATCCTTTTATTGGACTGTAATTCTGTGCACTCTTACTACTATTGAAGTAACTTTAGCTTACTTCTGGGTCCTTTAGCTCCTTTAGAAGCAAAGTATCAGTTTAAGCACTTGATCCCGAAGAGCACAGGCAAAACAAATGAATGAGTATTTCAATGGACTCTTGTACTGTTTTTTTTCTAAAAACTTCAGTAACTTTCCTATGTGGACTTCAAAGAAGGTGTAAACTATCTTTATTCTCTGAATACCAAGTACAAATTCTGTTTTCCTATTTTGATGCTGTCTTCAATTCTCAGTTTTACTTTTTAAAACCTATTTTAGTGACTCATAGTTACTAATTTGCTTGAAAATGTCAGGGAATAGCCTCTTAACTTATTTTGGTGGAACTCAAAAATACTAAGGCCTGATTAGTACTTGGATGAGAGTACCAGGAAATCCCAGATAATAGATTTATGACTGGTCGTTTAGCAATCATTTGAGATTACAATGGAACCCCAACCCCCCAAAAAAAGCTATTTACAACCTGGTTTCAAAGTTATAACTGCTACAGGATCCCCGACCTCTGAAATTTGTGATTATTTGCCCTTACAACTGACCGAAGGGATGCTGCAGTGCACCCCCACTTATCTTCCCCATCCTGCCCCACTGGGTGTCCATAGGCCTTGGACCTGCTTCCCCCTTCCCCAATTGGGTCCCCTGCAGCCTTGAACTGGGTTTCACATCCTCCTCCCCAACTCTCATCATCGATCACACATTTACCACTGGAAGAGCTCTGGAGCTTGCAGTGGGAAAGAAAGCAGGCCACTCCGCTCTTTGGTTGTCCCTAGGTCGCATGTCTCCATCCAAGAAGCAAGTGCCATTTTCGGAGTGGCTGCATTGAGCACAATTGGTGATCGAGTAGGAGGAGGGTTTGTGATATGGTGAAATGCGAAGTAGGCACAAGACACCATTGGGGTGGTGGTGTAATAACAGGTCCAAGGCATGCACAGACCCTTAGGGGTGGGAATCAGAGCCCAGGATGCTTCAGAGGATGGGGAAGACTTTGTCAGGCCCTGGGCAGTTAGGCCTTGATTTTCACTGAGCCTCCCAGGGCCTCCCCCACCCCTGTGGCCTCTGGTCTGCACAATGCACAAAAACTCTATTGCAGCATGAAAAGGTGGGGGCAAAATTGGAGTCTTTGGGAGAGGGTGGTTTAGGGGGTAAAGTGGTGCCTTACATCTTGTACTTAAAATTATCCCAAGAACGGGATGTTTAGATGGTGAAATGATGCCTTAACCACTAGCAAGGTTTAAGATAGTCATTTTACTTTTTAAAGTCATCCTTTACCCTCAAGATTGCAGGTTGCTTTGTCACTATTTTATGTATTTGTATGTCCTTGGTGTTTCTTAATCGTGCATAATTTTTTTTTATTGCAGCACCAAGATTGCTTATGTTAGCGATTTTTAATTAGCACATGAATAAATGCATTATTTACTGTTCACATAATCACAAAAAAGATCCTATTTAAAGTGTTGCTGATAAATAGTTTTACTTCAAAAACACGAAACCCTGTAATTTCCACTTTATATATGAATCACGTATGAAAAGACATGACCTGCCCAAAGTTCTAGTAAAACGCATTTATCTTTGAAGGTGGTAAGAAACGAAATATTCCATTTCGACGTCAGCGTATGCAAATAGATCAGCCAGTTCCTCCTTCAGGGATTGGCGCCTATCCAGTTCCTCAACCGAATGACCCATATATTGCCGATCTTCTTCAAGTGGCTGACAACAGGTGATTAAGCTTTAGCAATATTTCAGTTTTAGAAGAAATGCATAATTTATACATATTTATATTACCCTATCCTTGACTGAGAAACTGAACATTTCTACAGAGATATTTATTTACTTATCAATCATGTAGATTAGATTTGAAGAGTATAGTGGAGATCTTATAATAGCTCATCTGCTTGTTTCCCCCCTTTTATACATAAGAGATCTAAAAGCGATATAGTTTCTTTCATACTTGAAAGGAAGAGCCTTGGTGGCGCAGCAGACTAAAGTGCTGTTAAATAGCACCAGCTGCCTGCAATTACTGCAAGTTCGAATCTCACCAGGCTCAAGGTTGACTCAGCCTTCCATCCTTTCGAGGTAGGTAAAATGAGGACCCGGGTTGTGGGGGCAATAAGATGACTTTGTATAAAAAAGAATACCGCCGGGGGGGGGGGGCGAAGGCCCTACTAAGCAGGTATATACAAAAGTATGAAGGCTATTACTTAACACATTGTAAGCCGCCCTGAGTCTCAGGAGAAGGGCGGCACATAAATTGAACCAATAAATAAATATAAATTGAACCAATAAATCCTTGGAAGTCCTGTTTAAGAGTAAAGGGAATTTAGATTTTGTGAAACCATGTTTTTCTCAATCTTCTACCAGTTCATTTTTTTCCCCTGGATGATCTTTGGCCATAAATTGTGGAAACTTTTCATACTATAATAGACGAACATGACAGTGTAGGCCCCTAATCTAATTGTGAATCTCCTTACCAGGGAAGGTTCTCTACAAAATTCTAAATTTCTAAGGAAAACATTTTTTCGTAAATGTATTTAAAACTGGAAGATTGTGTGCATGACAGAGACGAAATGAAGGTGGTTTATATATGTATTGAATATTTCAGAATTCATGAGCTGCAGATTGAAGTAGACGACTTGCAGGAAAAACTAGAGATAGCTGAACGTGAAATGAAAAATTACAGCAAACAGGTATATTAAACTCTTAATAGTTTTGCGTATATATTTGCTAATATCTATAGTTTCTGTAATATTGAAGAAGTGAGTTTTTTATTACTATTGTCCTGTCTCTCTATATATGTACATCTAGAGTTATAATATACATATATTGTATATTTGTACCTACACATACCACATACACCATCAACTCATGATGGCGAACATATCTAATACCCCTGCCTCCTACAGTATTTTCCCACAACAACCCTATGAGGTGATTTCGGTTGAAAGAGATTGACTGGCCCTAAGTCACACGGCTAGCTTTCATGCTTAAGGGAGGCCAAAATTCACAGTCTCCCAGTTTCTAGGCCAGCATCTCAACCACTTCACCAAACTGGATTTCATCTCTTAATATTAGAGATGTGCAATCTATGCACAAATCGTTCTATGCACAGAGCAGCTAGTTTCTCATTATTGTTTCTAGGTTAAAATATTCTCATTTCTATGTCTGAACTGAAATATACAAGTCCTGGACAGAAAGGGCAAGAGAGTTGAGAGGACAGCAGGAAAATGAAATATTGGGTACAATTGGGGGAGATATGGAAAGAAAAGAGTGGTATTGCTGGGGCTGGGAAGGATTGGATGGGATGGCCAATATCCTTGGCTTCAGGTGCACCATATTCAACTTCTTTCCTAACCTTCCACAGTCCTTATTTCCTTTTTTTAAAATGATGCACTTGAGGTCAAGGACATTGGCAGCAGCAAAGGGGAGGTAGAGAGAAAGGAAAACCCTGGGAAATGAGTGTGGGTGAATTGGTTGGATAGCTACTATTGCTGGTGTTCTTGGCTTCAGGCTCAGTGGTTAGGATACATTATTGCAGGCTAACTCTCCTGACTGTCAAGTTTGATCCTCACCAGCTCAAGGTTGACTCAGCCTTCCATCCTTCCGAGGTCGGTAAAACGAGGACCCAGATTGTGGTGGGGGGGGCAATATGCTGACTCTGTAAACCACTTAGAGAGGTGGTGAAGTGATGTATAGGTCTAAGTGCTATTGCTATTCAAGTAGTGCATGTGTGTGATTATATCATAGGGAAAGACTTACAGCACTGACTGGATTAACGCAGTTATTTTTTTTCTTTGAAGGTTGAGCTCCGAGACAGTGAGATTGAACGTTTAGGATTCGCACTAGATGGCGGTCGTTCTCATGATGTAATATCTCTGGAAGCCAAAAGCAAAAGTAATGAAAAAATTATTGATCACTTGAATTTGCAGGTAACACTGTTGACTGTCTTTCAGCTTCTACATCTAAAGCATCACCTAAAACTTTAAAATATGGATCCTCTTAACATTAGCCAAAGTACAGTGAAATTTCCATTTTCTACACCTTGATTAAATGGACTTCCCAATGCAAATGGGTAAAATTTCCATGCCATTTGGCATAATGATAACATTACATAAACAATGCAAAAGGCCAGGTGTCAATTTATGTAATTTTGCAGGATAATGGCATCTTCATACAAATGAATAACAGACACAATTAGTCCATTCAAATGAGATTTCACTGTAATTATTGTCATTTCCTGGAGAACTACTTTTGGTATCTTGGCTTGATGAATGCATGCAGATTGTAATTAAGGTTATCTTAGTTATGTTTTTTATGCCTTACCAGTTCTCTTTTGAAATGTCTGAGGTCTAACATATAACTTACACAATTATATATAACTTAGGAGACTTTTTTATGATTCACAGATTTAATGTATTAATTTGTATTCGAAGGGCAGAAAGTACTGTTTGTTCATTAGGGAAGATCCTTGAAGGAATTCCTAAATTTTTTCAGGTGAATTTAACATGGTGTTAATATTTATAGGTTGAATTTCTACAGCAAACAAACAAAGAGCTTGAAAAGCGCATAGAAGATCTTTTGGATAGCAGGCAAAATATGACCAGTGAAGTGGCTCATTTAAGCAACAAAAATGAAGAACTATGTCAAGAATTGACTGAAATTGATCACTTGGCCCAACAGTTGGAGAGGCATAAAGAAATTGTGCTTGAAACTGCAGATAAAGAAATTGGAGAGGCTAAGGTAAGAAAATGTTGGGAATTGCTAGAACATCAAGAATATGTTCCAATTCCTTGGGAAAACATTCCACACTTTGTTTTCTTTCACAGTTCATTTTTTGTTTTAAATCTTACATACTAAAAAGTTGTATGCTGAAAAAGTTTTCTTCTATTTTTACTAATTAAATGAAATTAATAATGTTAGTTTTAATGGTTTTGTGCAATTGTTCTGCATAAATGAATAAGAATTTTTATATTTTGCTGTTGATTAGAATGTATATAACATCTTTCTAGATTTGATAAGTGGGAAAGCTCTGAAGTTAGCCCAGAAACTAATTAAGAGTTTCTTAAAATATTGAAGAGGATTAGCATTTCATAAAGCTACATAAAGATTACTTAATAGAACTCTGTGGGAATATCCAACCAAAAGAAAGCAACAAGTCTTTAGTATGAAACTGGTTAAGAGCTTTTCACTTTCAGGCAGCAGCTGCCAGTGGCCCAGCATTCAGTTAAGGTCACAGAGCTGAGCTTTTTAATTAGCAGTTAGGACTTTTTAGGGAAGCTTTGGGCGATGGAGAAAAGCAGTAAAGGAAGAGAGAGCTTGTTTAGTCATTCTTTCTGCTCTGGAGTGGGCAGGAGCATATCATGGGGCAACTCTTGGTTGACTGTAATGATAAACATGTGAACGAGAGATAGAGACACTGCACAGGTTATAAATGTGGGCATAGATTGCACTTTTTCATTCCAGTCGTAACTGGAAACCGTTGCTGTCCGAGGCAGTTGCTAAATAAGGAATACCTGCGCTTGCGCCTCCAGCTGGTCTTCGGGTCTCTGCCACGCATGCATGGGGGTGTGGGGTATGTGGGGTTGCGAGCGCATGTGCGGGGCGCGTGGGGGGTTGCACGTGCATGTGGGGCGCTTGGTGCGCATGCATGCACGGGGCAGGGCGCATGTGTGGGGCCCACGCGTGCATTGCATTTTAGGGATTCGGGTGCGCACACGCGCATTCACACGCACACGCTTTGGCCACTCAGTCCGGAAAAGGTTAGCCATCACTGGGCTAGACACACCTAGTTCCCTTAACTGTTCGTTGTACAGTTTAGTTTCCAGACTTATCATCTTTGTTGCTCTTCTCTGCACTCTTTCTAGGGTCTCAGCATCTTTTTTGCCCTGTGGCCCCAGAATTGGACACACTATTTCAAGTGTGGCCTCACTAGTGCAGTACACAGTGATAGTGTTGCCTCTCATGATCTTCATGTTATCCCTTTGTTGATGCAGCCAATGTTGTGGCCCGTCAGCGGCCTGTGCAGATTGTAGCTGATTCTGACAACGAGGAGGCTGGTGTGGTGCTGCGCCAGCAGCCTATGCAGCTGGCGCTCGAGTCGGACAGTGAGGAAGCTGGAGAAGATGTGGTGCCAGAGGCAGAGATTCAGTCAGGGCCTTCAGAACCTCCAGAAGCTCCTTTAAGTGAAGGGGACAAAGAGGAGGAGCCTCTTCTCAATGCACGGGCGCGCAGAGCTGCCAAAAGGCAGGAGTGGCTCCTCAGGAGGAGGTCTCCTCGAGAGTAAGGCTTGGGGCTAACTGGCCACTCCCTTAGCCTATTTAAGGAGGAACACCACTTGCAGCAAGCTGTAGGGAACAACTTTAGTTCACTCTCCTTCGCGTCTGGATTCTCTGCAAAATTGCTTCTGGGCTTTCTGCCAACCCTAGTAAGACTGTGATTACCTTATCTTAGAATTCTGGTAGGCTGTTAAGACAGTTTATTAACAGCCTTTTGGTTGATAAAGACTAAGTTATTTGAGTAAAATAAGCTTTGTATAGAGTTTGTGTATGCTGCGTTCTTTGGGGTCTGTAGCTGGGCAGAACAGCCAAGGACTGAATTGGCTGTTTTGGCAGCTGCAACACACTGCTGGCTCAGACTTCAGCGGTGGCCCAGTTGTACACCTAGGTTCCTGTCACAGTTACTATTGTTCAGCCAGGTACTGCCTATTCTATACTTGAGCGTTTGTTTTTTCCGGCCTCAGTGCAGGATCTTGCTTTTCTCACTACTGAACGGCCTCTTATTGGATAGGGCCCATTCCAGCTACTTGGTTGTGCCATTCAGTGGATGCTGTTCCTGCCTGCATCTTCCATCCTGCCACCATGTGTTGGATGGTCTCTGAGGCTTCTCCGCATAGTCAGCACTTTGGGTCCTGTCCTGTTTCTATGGATCTGGTGCTTCGTTCCTATTCTTGTGCGGCTATGATCAGTGCCTCAGTGCTCTCCAGTTCTTTCTAGCCATTGATAAGCTTTTCCAATGTCAGCCACCTCAGCTAAGTGTTGTACATCTCATGCAGGTCTTGCATGGCACTTCCTCTGCTTGATCTTCCTTCTATGTCAGCTGCTACCCCAGGCATTCTCTCAGCAGTTCATTTTTGGGTGCCAGCTTATTGATGTATTTCAGGATGCTCTGGATTGCTTCCCGGAAAATGACTTTGACACTCACCTGACTCCATCCACCCTCTTTTCAGCTGCTATACAGTCTCTAGGTATTGGGTTTGGGAGAGCCCTTCCTGACCACTATATATATATATATTTGCTATATATATATATAGCAAATATTTGCAATCCTTCACCAGTTCTGTAAAGTCCATATTGCAGATGAAATATTGAAATTACTTGAGACCAGCTAGGGAATGCAGATAGATTTCAATTTGATTTCTACTATTTCAGCTATTTTACTTCAGTAGCTGATTTCTCAAGATATAAAACTCCCTAATATATTTTAGATAGCTTGGTATTTTTTCCCTCCCTCCCTTTCTTTAATCTTAAACGGTTCACAATTATGTAGGAACCAGTCAGCTTACTTACTGTTATTTGCACGTTAGGTTTTTAAAATACAGTATTCCAGAAGTAATGCATAATAAAATAAAACCAGAAAAAAATACATTTAAATCTTATTTTAAAAATATAGCAACTATGTATGTGCAGGAGATAATAATTTGGTGACTGATATTTATAGTAGTGACTGTCCTAATACTCATGCAACAATTTATATAGAAATAAATATTTTACTTCTCAAGTTTTATAATAAAATGTTACTTTAAAAAATAATATTTACATATATTTCATGCAATCAGGAAGAAATTAAAAAAAGACGCAGTGAAGTACAAGATCGCGAGGAGATCATAGCAAGACTGAAGTTAGTAAGTAACATGCCTATTGAACTGAGTTTAGCTTACAGTACTTAAACTTTTTAATATTTATGTTTGAATTTAATGCATGCTTGCTAATGACAATTATTAATAGCATAAGAAAGTAAATCAATAATATATTTATAAAAATTCTGTTTTTTTATATTGACACTATTGTAGTAGATTTTTATTAGTAAGTTTTATAAGCCCAATACAAATATTTTAAATATCCATCCTACTGAAGATTGCCTCCAATAAAACTGGTAGAATTAAAATATCTTGCAGTATTTAGATGAAAACTTTCAATATTGTATTGATTTAATTTGTATATCTGGTTTTTCACTGAGGACAAAATTTGGCTTATTATTATTATTATTATTATTATTATTATTATTATTATTATTGCTTTAATTTATATGCCACCCTTCTCCAGAGACTCAGGGCGGTTTACAATGCGTTAAGCAATAACCTTCATACTTTTGTATATTTATACAAAGTCAGCTTATTGCCCCCACAATCTGGGTCCTCATTTCACCTACCTTTGAAAGGATGGAAGGCTGAGTCAACCTTGAACCTGGTGAGATTTGAACTTGCAGTAATTGCAAGCAGCAGATGTTAATAACAGTGCTTTAGTCCACTGTACTATAGGCTATTCTCTATTATTTGAATATATTTTAAGTAGTAACAGATCAGATAATAAAAGAGAAATGATAAAGCTGTGCTAGAGTAAGATTCTTCACTCTTCTCAATCCTAGAATTAAAAATACTGTGGGTAAAAATGTTATCAGTGTCCATTTTGGATGGGGTTGCATTTTCTCTGAAAGATCATTTGCAGCCCGGTTTGACTCCTGGATCCATTTTGTCACTTGAGTTGTCATCTGGCTAGCTGCACTGTATTGTGTCCTACTGCATAATGAGTCTGCCCTTCAAGCCTTCTGGTGCAGAATATGGCTATATAGCAAAGTTATTGTTATATTGGCTCGACTAAATAGCACCAATTCTCAAAGAACTGCACTGGGAGGGCAGTTGTTACCAACTGCATCTCGTTACCCCATTTAAATGCTTTAATTGTTTAAGATTGCAGTACTTGAGGAGAACACCCCTAGTATATACCTGCCTATGATCTGGAGTGCAGGAGCTCTTCCTTGTTTCATGACTGGGAAGAGTGCACTCTGTGGGAATGCAGGAGAGGATCTAGGCAAGTGCTAGCTATACATATCCCTTTGCATAAGGTAAAAAAATTGGCGGTTTTGTTCATGTAAAATTTAGTTCACCCTTGCTTGGATCTCTTAATCACTTTTCTATTAATAATCTTTATTTGATACAGTATATTTTAACTGCTATGTTTTTATTTTATTTGTCTTTATTATTTTATTTCGTTTTTATGAGCCACAGTGGCGCAGCGGTTAGAGTGCAGTACTGCCTGCAATTTAGCAGATAGAATCTCACCAGGCTCAAGGTTGACTCAGCCTTCCATCCTTCCGAGGTCGGTAAAATGAGGACCCAGATTGTCAGGGGCAATATGCTGACTCTATAAACCGCTTAGAGAGGGCAGCAAAGCACTGTAAAGCGGTATATAAGTCTAATTGCTATTATAGATGGTTTTCCACCACGGCATCTTCTGGGTGTTGAATAAGCTATAAATAATATAAATTGACTAGTTGTCAGCTTATAAATAATATATCAACAAAATAAATTGTATCTAAGTCAAATTCTCTGATATGCAATGAATACTTGAAATAGAAATAGAATTCTTTTATTGGCCAAGTGTGATTGGACACACAAGGAATTTGTCTTTGGTGCATATGCTCTCAGTGTACATGAAAAGAAAAGATAAATTCATCAAGAATCATAAGCTACACCACTTATAGGGTATAAATAAGCAATCAAATCATACTAGGAAACAATCAATATAAATCATAAGGATACCAGCAACAAGTTACAATCATACAGTTACAAGTGGGAGGAGATGGGTGAGAGGAACGATGAGAAGATTAATAGTAATAGTAATGCAGACGTAGTGAATAGTTTGACAGTGTTGAGGGAATAATGAATACTTGGTGCTTCTAACTTGAATACAGGTAGTCCTCGACTTACAACAGTTCATTTAGTGACCATTCGAAGCTACAACAGCACTGAAAAAAGTGACTTATTGTTCTGCCCCAGCTACGGACCCCAAAGAACGCAGCACACACAAAGTCTGTGTGTACAAACCTTAGTTTACTAAAATAAAATCAGTTTTTTTTTTCAAACAAAGGCTGTTAATTAACTTTCTTAACAGCCTGCAAGAATCCAAAGAATAAATAATCTTAATCTTACTATGGTTGGCAGAAAGCCCAGAAGCAATTTGCAGAGAGATAAGATCAAGGCACGAAGCAGAGTGAACAAGTTGTTCCCTGCAAATTGCTTCAGTCGGCGTTCCTTCTTAAATAGGCTAAGGGAGTGGCCAATTAGCCCCAAGACTTACTTTTTTTTTTATTTTATTTTTTTTTATTTGATTTATATGCCGCCCTTCTCCGAAGACTCAGGGCGGCTTACAATGTGCTCAGCAATAGCCTTCATCCTTTTGTATATTTATACAAAGTCAGCTTATTGCCCCCACAAACTGGGTCCTCATTTCACCTACCTTAGAAAGGATGGAAGGCTGAGTCAACCTTGAGCCTTGGCGAGATTCGAACCCTGCAGTAATTGCAGGCAGCTGGTCTTAATAACCAGCTTAATAACAGGGTGCCTTAAACCCCTGTACTACCAAGACCTCCTCCTGAGGAGCCACTCCTGCCTTTTGGCAGCTCTGCGCGCCTGTGCATCGAGAAGAGGCTCCTCCTCTTCTTCCTCTTCCCTTAAGGGAGCTTCTGGAGGTTCTGAAGGCCCTGGCTGAATCCCCGCCTCTGGCACCACATCTTCCCCAGCCTCATTGTCCGACTTGAGTGCACAGGCTGCTGGCGCAGCACCACACCAGCCTCCTCGCTGTCCAAATCAGTCACCAGCTGCACAGGCCGCATACGGGCCACAACACTTACGACCATTTTTCACACTTATAACCATTGCAGCATCCCCATGGTCATGTGATTTACATTCGGAAGCTTGACAACTGGTTCAAATTCAACTGGTTGCAATGTCCTGGAATCATGTGATCATTGTTTGCGACGTTCTGGCAGGCAAAGTCAATGGGGAAGCTAGATTCCCTTAACCAAGTTACTAATTTAACAACTACACTGATTCACTTAGCAACTGTGGCAAGAAAAGTCATAAAACGAGGCAAAACTGACTTAACAAATGTCTCACATAACAACATAAATTCTGGGCTCAATTGTGGTCGTAAATCGAGGACTATCTGTATATGGAAATGTTATGTGATTAAAAAATTGGTTTTTTTTAAAAAAAATGTATTTTTATTGTAGCCACAATTCTAAGTTTTGTAATATTTGTGTCACGTTAGGAGTTATCTTCCTATCGCAGAGAAAAAGAAAAATTGAGTGAAGAACTCTTTGGAAAATCAGAGGAAAAACAAAATCTTGAGATACTGTTAAACCAGACTCAAGCAGAAAACCATAGATGGTCCAAAAAAGTTGAAAACCTTGAAATTATAAGTAAGTATTTACATTCCCACGCGCTGTAGGAGATGGATTTTCAGCCTCAAATGAAATCTTGGGGGGTGGGGGGGAAACTAAATAAGGAAAGTCAGGAACTTTTACATAATTCATTGCTAAATTGTTTATTAAATAGTTTCCCTGTAATTATTTCAGATTTTGGTTCCTTTATTCGGGAGAGCAGAGTCCATTATACAACTTGTTAGTGTTGTATAAAGTATAGCATTATTTTACAAATTTAAATATTTGGTTTCTGTATATTAAAATAATATAATTATTGCATTAAACTGTCAAAGGGAATGCGGTGGCTGAGTGGCTAAGACGCTAAGACACTGAGCTTGTCGATCGAAAGGTCGGCAGTTCAGCGGTTCGAATCCCTAGTGTTGCGTAACAGGGTGAGCTCCCGTTACTTGTCCCAGCTTCTGCCAACCTAACAGTTCGAAAGCATGTAAAAAATGCAAGTAGAAAAATAGGGGCCACCTTTGGTGGGAAGGTAATAGGGTTCCATGCGCCTTTGGCGTTTAGTCATGCCGGCCACATGACCATGGAGACGTCTTCGGATAGTGCTGGCTCTTCGGCTTTGAAACGGAGAGGAGCACTGTCCCCTAGAGTCAGAAACGACTAGCACATATGTGCGAGGGGAACCTTTACCTTTATCTAAAACTGACAAATATTAAATAAACTCTAACCTTAATCCTAAACCATTGGATCATCGTTTCAGAGATATTTACCTACCTAAATAGAGAAACAGAATGACTAAGGACGGGCAAAAAATCATGGCATGCAATTTTGAACTTCCTGCCAGTTTCCCCTTTGAGTTTACTTGCAGGAAAACTGACAGGGATTATCGCAAATCTTCCTTTCCCTTCCCTTCCCTTCCCTTCCCCTCCCCTTTTTCATTAAAAACAGAAAAATTTTGAAAGAGTTTTTCTTCATCATTTTCATAACGAATGCTTTAGCTGAAGACTTCTTGTGTATGGAAATTTCATCCTTGCCGATTGTGGTCTGTTGCAGATCGTGAACTTGTCATAGAGCTAGAGAGAATGAGGCTGGAGGGTGGCATAGCCCTTGGAGACAAGTCACCTTCTCGCCTAGATGTATTTGTAAAGACCATAGAGGAAGACAGGGACTATTATAAGCGAGAACTAGAGTGTCTCCAAAAGATATTTAAAAGAAGATCTAGCCCATTGCGCAAATCTCCAGAAAAGGTAAGGCTTTACTGTGCTTAATACTTCATACTTCAATGATATCACATAGTCCAATTACTCATCAAATTATCTTTTCAACTCTTAGCTTTATAAAGCATGCTCTTAGCCATCAGATCGGGGTCAGATGATTCCTTTTGTAGCAGACTGATTATTTACTAGGAGGAGGGCTGCTTTCATACTTTGGCAGCGTTCTGGGTTTCATTTCTTGGCTCATTTCTTTTAGAGGTCTCCTCCTCCTCTGCACTCACCTGCATTCGATTTCTTGTCACTCCTAAGAAGTCAAATAGGAGATCCCGATCACAGCTGCCTATTACTTCACAAAAAAAAAAGCTGTTAACAGCCAATAAAGTGAAAAGACAAATGATGTAGTCAGGCAGCATCCTCAACTATTTAGACATATAATGAAATAATAATAATGATGATGCACACTTTAATAAGGGAAAAAAGCTAGTTTTCCCCTGTTAACATTAAATACAAGGCAATGTAGCTTTGTTAGTATCAAAATATTAGCATGCTTTAATTCCCAGCTTTATTGGATTCAGTGATATTTCCTTCTTAATAAGCATGATTAATCTCTCTCAAGTTACAGGTAGTCCTCGACTTACAACAGTTTGTTTAGTGATCGTTCGAAGTTACAAGGGCACTGAGGAAAGTGACTTATAACTGTTTTTCACACTTACGACCGCTGCGGCATCCCCGTGGTCACGTGATCAAAAGTCAGGCGCTTTGCAACTGATGAATCAGTTTTACATCATCGTTTGTGACTTTCTGGACAAACAAAGTCAATGGGGACGCCAGATTCACATAACCATGTGATGGGGCAAAATTCACTTAACCATTGTCTCATCAGCAACATAAGTTTTGGGCTCAATTATGGTCATAAGTCAAGGACTTCCTGTAAATATGTTAGAAATTATTTATAGTTCTAGATTTACCTATTTTTCTTCACATATTTTTTTATGAAATTCTTAAAAAGATTTCAGTAAACAAAGGCAAAATAGAAAATGCTACTGTGTTGAATTTATGTTTTACCGACAAAGAAATAAAGGGAGACTAGTATAGATAGATCTATTTCGAACTATTTAGCTCTCATCAGCTAGCCATAATTCAAACCCGAGCTACGTGCATATTAGGTAGATGTATTAACCTCTAAGCCATGCTTAAAAATGCTACTATTTCCTCCATGCAATTTTACTATAGAAAAACATTTATCATTTGTAAAGACATCTAATAATTTCCCTATAATTAACAAACATATGTGAACACCAAGTCTGTGTATTTTTCTCCTCCCTCTCTAACATGGCCACAGGAGAAAATGGAAAGAAACTCTTTTAGCCTAACTGCAATTTGCAATTTGCATTTGAATCTGGGTAGCAAATGGTTAGAAAATGACTTGTTTTGACTAACTATAATAAATATATTAATAGGGGGTTTCATGGCACTACTTGAGGCGGTGGGACGGATCTACGGGCTGAAGGTTCAGAATATATTCAACAGTTTTAGTGCTATGTTTGAATGTTGAGATCCTGGCTAGATAACTGACATAAAATCAGAATTCCCCAGTTCTGGACAATGTTAACAATATTGTCAGGGCCAATTTTGTATGATTCTTTGTGCTACATGAACCATGATTTATAAAGCATGGAATGATGATTGTTTTTGGACTGCAATCCTGTCATTAGTAAAATGTATTTTATTGAAATGTTTAATAATATGGGTGAATACATATGTGGATGTATAAAGCATATTCTCACTTTTTCCTTTCCCCTCCTCTTTTTGCAGAGTGAAGACCTTAGGTTAGTTATACGAGAGAGAGATGAGCTACAGTCTATGCTCGACAGATTTGAAAAGCATATGATAGACATTCAGTCTAATGTCAAACTATTAACTGTAGAAAAAGACAAATTAAGTGTCCTTTATGAACAGGTAAATAAATATAACCTTGATGCAGAGCTATATATAACAATGAAAATCTGCAGTCTCATCAGAAAGAAGCTAGATTTATTGCAAACTCCAGTTTAGAATGAGAAAAGAAGAATGTGAATGCAGAACAAAATAGTTGTATAGATACTGGATAATGATTTATTCTATGACACATATGTTGCTATGTATGAAAGGAATAGTTACAACCTGAGATTCCACCCAACATAATTTCATGTTTTGCAGTTCGTGAATGCACGAGCATAAGTATATGCATGAAAAACACATATTATGCATCTCTGTTAATAGTCTAGTAATTACTCGGCAGGGCGTATTGTAATTGCTTTGATTTGTGTGAGCTGCCCAGAGCTTTTGAGAGTCAGGTGGCATATAAATTTAATAAATTATTCATTTCCTGGGCTAGTGCAATTAGGCATTTGACATTTATTGGAAGCCTATTGAGTTTTGATGCTAAGTCTCATAGATATTTAATATTATTAATATTTAATATAATGCTAATACACATTAATCTTTATCAAATTTACTATATTAATATTAATACAAGCTCATATTAATATGAATGTGTGTGTGTGTGTGTGTATAAATATATATATATATACATACATACATATATATATATATATACATACATACATATATATATATATATATATATATATATATATATATATATATATATATATATATAATTGAAACAATGTGTAATATTATTTAATATTTCATTTTAATTTTTTCCATGAAGGAAAAAATACTTTAAACATAGGTAGAAAGACAGTCTTTAAATTAATTATTTAGTAATGTTACATTTAGGAACAAGATTTTCTTGGTTTGCAGTGTAGGAAATTTGAAGGTATATTTAGCTAATTCGGTCAAGCCCAGTTTCTGTTTAAAGAATATGTAGCTTATATGTCTGTGTAAATGTTTTTAAGTCAAAAATGTCAAAGTTATTTTCAATAATACACTAATATTGTGGAAACGGAGAGTTTTTGAAGTGTATTGGTTTTATTTTATATGGAGAATACTTAAGAAATTTATATTGAGATATTGGAAAGTACTATTACTTCAACTATCAAAGGTTGAATGAACCCATTTTTACGGCGGCTGCATTTTCTAATAATAAAAAAATAATACATTTCCCTTTGGGAGACAATATTTTACATAAATATATATTAGCTTTATAAATTTTATAATATTATTAAATATCAACATTTTTTTAGTGTTTCTGATTAATTTTCTATTATTTTTTTGTTCACTTCAGTATTATACATTTCGTAAGTAGCATGCTGGGTATTGTTTTCCTCTAATTTGTTTTTCTTTTCTTTTCTTTTTTTGCTTGCCTTTTAAAAATTGCAATACAATTATGATTTTTCAAAAACTAGAGAGCCAGTTTGGTCTAGTGGTTAAGGCACTAGACCAGGAGCCACGACACTGTGACCTCTAGTCCTGCTTTAGCTATATGAATGTTGGCCAGGTGACTTTGGGCCCAACACTGCCTCTTAACCTATCTCGACTCAGGGGTGAAATCCAGCAGGTTCTGGAGAACCGGTAGCGGAAATTTTGAGCAGTTCAGAGAACCGGTAGCGGAAATTTTGAGCAGTTCAGAGACCCGGCAAATACCATCTCTGGCTGGCCCCAGAGTGGGGTGGAAATGGAGATTTTGCAATATCCTTCCCCAGGAGTGGGGAGGGAATGAGGATTTTGCAGTATCCTTCTCCTGCCATGCCCACCAAACCACGGCCACAGAACCGGTAGTAAATAAATTTAGATTTCACCACTGTCTCAACTCACTTGGTTGCTGTGGGGAAAATAGGAAGAGGGAAAAGCATAAGCTCACACCTTGAGTTGTTTATTTAAATTAATAAAGGCAGGGGAAAAAAATTAATTTTGTATTTTTAGTCTCAGAATGAATTAAACTTACTACGGAGAGAGAAAAAAACCTGTTTTCTAACAAAAAATCATGCAGAAGAAGAAAGGAATAACGCATTGGCTGATTTCAGAAGAGCAGCATCTGAAAAAGAAGGACTGAGGGAGAAATTAAAGGTCAGCTTTTAATATTTTCTGTAGTTTTCAGTAATGAAATAATTTTGGTCTTTGTTTCTTATTTAAAGTGGCTATCTCCGGGGCCTGTAACACTTCAGACTATTATTGATAACATCATAAGGATATCAAAAAGTGCATTTTGGATTTTCTTTCATAATCATTCTGTTAAGAGTATTGCTAAAACTAATAATGAACAGTACTATTAATTTAGCATAAATTCTCAAAATGGCAAACATTTTCTGTTGTAATTTTAGTTTGGGGCTTTGTTAAATATTAGGCAACATTGGAAAAAGAAATTTACAGCTGATCAACAATTATTGATTGTTGATATACAGTATATTGTTTGTCATCATTTGAGTTGAGAGTTGCTATGCAGAGAGATAAGTGGCATATAAATCAAATAAACATTTGGGGAATTTTTTTATTATAGACATTTATATATTGATTAAACAAAATAGATGCCATTTTCCTTCTGACATTCATGTACTATTGGGTCATTTCATTGTCAAGAAATTTAGAGGAATTTGGGGACACTTTAATATTATTAATGAAAGGGCTCATTACTGATCTGTCTACTTTATTTTGTTAGATCCTGCAGGAGGAATATACTTTAGATAAATTAAAATTGGAACAGGAAGTATCAAGATTGGAAAGCACTCTTAAAAGAGTAAGTATTTTGCCCAATTTGGAGCTATAACTTTTTATGTAGTCGCTATTTCATGATTATTTGGAAAGAAAAAGGGAAAATTTCATAGGGGCCACATATAAATGGAATATGTAAATAATTCCTGTTACTACAAGGCAATTTACCTTATTGTGGATTTCACTACCATTGATCCTTACTACCATTTTAGTGGAACGTATTGAGAAGGGTTGCTTTATCTTGCAGTCTTTAAAAAGGTTTAAAAATGTCACATAGGTTTGGAATTTCTTTTGCTCTACAGTTGGAAACAGAACGTCTCGATCAAGTATCTACAGCGTCACTGTTAAAAGACAAAATAAGCTCTTTGGAAGATGAACTAAACATGAAGACTCATCAGCTCTTAAATACATCTGAAGATTCTGCACAGTTTAAGTCAGAATTGAGTTCACTAAAGTAAGCTCAGCTGTGTATTTTATAGCTAGTAAATGCGCATTTGTAATTCGTGTCATTCTATGATGCTGTGGTTTCAGTGATAAGGCCCTAAAAAGAGGTCTCTAATTTGCATTTACCTGTTAATCAAACTGGAAATAATAATATGGCTAATCTGATAATTGAGTAGTAAGAAAAACCTATGCTGAATTTGTTTAGAAAAAGTTTATATTAATTTACACACATGGAATGGAATAGGAATAGACTAGAATAGAACAGAACAGAATTCTTTATTGGCTAAGTGTGATTGGACAAGCAAGGAATTTGTCTCAAGTGCATAAGCTCACATACATATAATAATAATAATAAGTAATAGTAAGTAATAGGTCATAATCATAGTTACAATCATTAATCGTAAGTTACAAACAACAATTGATAAATCATAAGAAATCAATAGGAGAAGGTAGTAGGAAAGATGAGAAGATGGGAAAAGATGAGAAAAGATTAGAAATGAGACAATGCTAGAGATTAATATTAATTCAGTGATTAATATCACAGATATTTCTTACATGTGAGTTCCTAGATAGTGATAAGCAGAAACTTTAGGGTTTATATGACCAGATATGCAGGAATTAATATTAAGTGGCAGGGCAACCTAGTCCTAGTCTATATAAACAGGCAGCCAATCCCACATTCACTCGCACAGATGATGTTACCTAGTTGGTAACAGTCCTTGGTCTCCACAAAATTCCTGTTTCATTGGAAAGTTGGGGACTAGTGTATTTCTTAAAAGGTATCCCATTTAGTTTCTATATGTAATTATGTTTGGTGATACCCATACTTAAGAAAATTAAAAGGACAATTTTGAACCTTCATTAGGAAAACAGGATTTTTAATTCTTGAAAATCTAGACTCAAAGGTATAGCACTGATTGGTCTTTTACTCAATCTAACTCACTATTTCTTTTATAAATTATAATACCCACTGAAGATACAGTAAAAATGGATTCATATCCTGTGCCCAATATTGTATTTAACACAACTGTCTTGATTTTACAGACTATTAAATGAACAGATTCAGAAATCCCTAGATGAGATACAGCATCAACTAACTCTTAAAGAAAATGAACTTCAATCAGCACAAGAGGAAATTGAGATATTAGAGGACAAAATAGGTGAATGAGATTGTACTGTATTATTAAGAAAAAGAAGTACAAATAATCTAGTTCAGTTCTGCACAAAATCATTCACAGTCAGGTTTTTAACAGGAGTAAACAGAATATAAATAAGACAAATAATAAATTTCCAGTTCAAACTTGAGGTTGAATACTTTGGCATTCAGGCTGAATTTATTCTAGCTCCTGGCCTTTCTTTCTCTACAGGTATTTTTTAAACTTTATGTTATTCAAATTAATTAATAGTAAAAATATACATGCAAACAATATTAATGAAAAATGATTCAAAATTAAGTATAAAAAGCCATTGTATAAACAACTACAAAATTTTGAACATATTCCTTGAATGTCATTTTGGCCCCTTTAGCCAAAAAAAAAAACAAAACACACAAATACTCAAAGGAATTATAGACACACTAATTGTCTTTTTAATCTTTGAATAAAAAAGTGGGATAAAAGTTCTTGGAGTTCTTATATCAAACAAAAAGCTAGAATACAACATAAAATACTGTGTCTCCTGCATGTCAAAATTATTGATTTGACTGAGGACATCAAGTCTAGTTTGCTTCAATTCATAGAGTCATTGTATAGAAATAAAATCAGGAATAGAAATTTTCCCTTTCTCTACAAAATATAATCTGTGTTGAGTACATTGTTTTGCTCTGCCTTCTGCTCTAATTCCATTAGCATTTTCAGAAATTCTAATTATGTGCATTACAGATTCTAAAGCTTAATTAAGGAAAAAGCACACACAAAAAATTCCATTTGTTTCACTACCTGAAAATATACTTAAATCAAAGAGAGAGCGTGCCATTAATAATTATACAGTGTAGATTACAAGCTATTGAAATATAATGGGTGTGTGTGTGTGTTCATTTTCTAGATTTTGGGACTTTCCATTTGTGTAAACTTATGTTTTTTGTGTTTTTATAATCTTTTTCTATATAGATTATAAAAAACAATATATATTTTCTTAGTGTTTTTATTTTACATTGCCCAGAGTCCTCATAGAGCTGACACCTTTATACATTTAAAAAATAAATAAATAGAACTTTTGGGGGAAGGGGAAACAAAAGTCAAAATGGCAGTCATTCTCTGACAGGTATTTCCAAAGTTCACCAGGATTTTAACTTTCCAAGGTCACATAGCTGATTCGAAATTAGCAACAACAGAAGGTTTGTAAAAAGCAATACACTTTTAAATTAAATTGGGATGACTGACTATTCTTCCCCCAATCATTTGTTGAGTGCAACAATAAAAGAGTCCCATAATTCAGAACAGAGGAACCCAGAACAAATACACCAACACTGGTGTGCTTACAGGGCTTAGAGTTTTGCACAGTCAAAGCAAGTGAGCCAACTAAAATTTTTATTGTTGTTGTTTTGCTATTTTCAGAGACACTCCAAACTAAGAGCTTATCACAAAATGAGTCTGTTATGCTGCTCAGAAGTACCGTTAATGCCTTGGATAAGGAAAAAGACAGCCTTCAGGAAAGTATAGATGAAAAAACTGAAAAAATTGCATATCTAGAAGACAATTTAGCTAACAAGGTATTTATACAAAAGAGAAAATGGATTATCAGAACCATTTTATCTTAATACTTACTGTATCAAGGGAAGAATGTTATTTGCTACCCTGTCTCCCCGAAAATAAGACATCCCCTGATAATAAGCCCAATTGGGCTTTTGAGCGCATGCGCTAAAATAAGCCCTTCCCGAAAATATTTAAACGCAGAGCTGGAAATCAGGTAAGACAGCAAGAGGAGTCCCATCTTGCTCCACACGCCCCAAAATAATAAAAGACCAAGTGCTTATTTTGGGGTTCAAAAAAATATAAGACAGGGTCTTATTTTTGGGGAAACACGGTAGACATGCAACCAAGGAAGAATTTGGGATATTTAAAGTAAAATGATAGATAACTAGAATGGCAAAGGGATTGTTTCTACAGCAAATTCATGGTTTATATAGAAAACAACTGTCCCTCATGTATGATTCCCTTCAAATATGGCAGTTTTATTGCAGTGTAGAAATATCTTCTTGAATGGGTCATTTCTTCCCAAAAGACAGGCATTTGCAAGTTAGACTTTAGCTGCCCTTTCTCCTAGGGCAGCAGTCCCCAACCTTTCTGGCTTGGCAGCCTGGCGGAGGCGGGGGGAGGGAGAGGGAATGGTTCCGTGTGCGCGGCAGGTATGTGCTTGAGCACACACAGCTCCCGCAAATGGAGCTGCACACGTGCATGCTTGCCTGCCACTTGTGTGGCCTGGTTCCAAATGGGCCACTGCCTGGTAGTGGGCCGTAGTCTGGGAGTTGGGGACCCCTATCCTAAGGGAGTAATTTGTTTTCAGTTGCATTTTTGCTTCACTCAAAAAGGCTTACAGACCTTTTTCGCTTTGTTTTCCTATAACTCTTTTTCTCTTAAATTCTCTCTCTTTCTTTTAACAACCTTTTAAAAAAAATATTAAGGTTTACGGAAAGAGAGGAACATCTAATCTGAGAAAGCTAGCCCCAAGGTGTTATGTGGGACTCTTAAGAACTTAGTTGTATCTGCCTGATAAAGAAAAACATGCACAACATAAGTTATATCACTATGATAACTGATGGAGAGAGAAGGTGCTGGTTAGTAAATGACATCTGATCTCAGCTTTGGTGCTGGAATTACCAGATGTAGCAATAAAATTGATGAGAATATCAAGCAGAATTCAGCAATTACCCACTTTGATGATAGATGGCTGTTCTCAGCTCTCAGTAAAAGGATAGTCTTTAAACCTTGATAGTACAGTGGTCTACGCACCCTGTTATTAACACAGCTGCCTGCAATTTACTGCTGGTTCGAATCTCTCCAAGGCTCAAGGTTGACTCAGCTTTCCAACCTTTCTAAGGTAGGTGAAATGAGGACCCAGTTTGTGGGGGCAATAAGCTGACTTTGTATAAATATACAAAAGTATGAAGGCTATTGCTTAACGCATTGTAAGCCACCCTGAGTCTCCGGAGAAGGGCGGCATATAAATCAAATTAAAAAAAAAAAAAAAAAAAGTAAGGCTAATATAAATTCTTTTCCATTCTTCCCATGGAGCAAAGGTATTCTCCCATTCCCACACCACCATCCACACCCACACAGACAGCCACACAGATGTCTTATATAGCAGGGGTCGCCAAGCCCCAAACTGTGGCCCTCTGCTGGGCTGCAGCTCATTTGGAACCGGTCTACGGAAATGGTGAGCAAGTGAGCACGTGGTCGGCATGCAGCTGCATTTGTGAAAGTGGGGCGCGCATGTGCGAAACCATCCTCTCTTCCCCCACTCCCCGCACTATTGCCACCACAGTCTGCACCAATCAGCCAAGCTGGAAAGGTTGGGGAAACTCTGTTATATAGGATATTTTAAGCTCCGTGTAGACGTTCTAAGCAGCAGAGAATCTTCCCTACTTAGAGAATTCATGGGAAAATATGGACACAAACGATAAAAAAAAAGTTAGCCAAGAATGATCATGTCCTCCCAGATGTAGATTATATATTAGTTTTGCCCAGTTCATATTATGCCTTGCTTCCTAGCTTGAAGGTAGTGAGAGATAACATATAACAAGTGGTTATATGTAAGTTACCTTTGGTAACAAGAAGTTATTATAAAATAAAATAAAAAGGATATTCTGGTAGCGTCCCTTTTTTTATCTTCCATTTTCCCCCAGCTACTTGCCAAATATTTTCATGTTTTACTTTGAACTTTATTCATTTTTCTTGGATCATTTTAATTATTATTATTATTAATACTGTACATGCAGTGGTGGGTTTCAAATTTCTTTACTACCTGTTCTGTGGGCGTGGCGTGGTGGGTGCGGCTTGTGGGCATGGCAGGGGAAGGATACTGCAAAATCCCCATTCCCTCCCCAATCCAGGGGAAGGATGCTGCAAAATCCCCATTTCCTCCCGATCAGCTGGGACTTGGGAAGCAGAGAATAGATGGGGGCAGGGCCAGTCAGAATTTTTACTACCGGTTCTCCGAACTACTCAAAATTTCTGCTACCGGTTCTCCAGAACTGGTCAGAACCTGCTGAAACCCACCTCTGTGTACATGCTTCTATATACTCAAAAGATTTCAAGACATAATTTGGCTTCTGCAATTTATTAGAAAAATCGTGAAAATTAAAAATTAAACAAGCAAAAAATTATTTGAAAGACAATAAGAACAAAATTATATGTAGTAAATGTTTAGGAGTATTACAGTTAACAACTTTGCCACTTTATTGCCTATAAAATCATAAATAAAATCGCTTATAAGTGGTTGGCAGGGAACTGTAAATGTATATTAAAGTTGTATTAGTATGTCTCTATAATGTTATGTATATTAGTGTCCTGTGCTTGTTGTGGGAGCTTTGAACGAAATATTTGGTTAGGATAGAGAAAGGATAGTTTGTCAAATTACTTAGTTTCATTAATGCTATGTTAGATTTAAAATTACAAGAAAAGAAAATACACAACATGCATAACTCCTTCTCTTTAAACAGGAAAAAACTATCTTCAGTTTACAAAAAACAGTTGCTCAATTGGAATTGTCTTTAGAGTAAGTAATAAAATTATAACTTTTGGCTATTCTGAAACTGATTTTGAAATCAAAGTTGGGTAATTTTAATAAGATTATAAAATTAACTGAGCTACTGCATACTTCATGAGATAAAAGAGACGGGGAAAAAAATTGAAATGTGTAGTTTAGCTAATTTTATATTAGCTAATTGTGTTATATATCAGGGATGTTATTAAATGTAATGCTTATTTAAAATAAGATGATGGGAGCCCAAAATACTTTATACTGTATCTTTTTTTTAAAATGGCTGGTTACCTTCTAAAATAATTATACTTTCTTTATTCAAACCACTTTAATAACCATTCACTTTAATCTCACTGAAGATTTAACATTTCACTGTACAGCTGTTTCCTAGTTTTTCTGAACTGTTTTCCAATTTTGCTAAACTGCTATTAATTTCTTTTTTAGTACGGTATCTAATTACATTTCTGAAAACTTTAATTAAAATTATTCACTTTCAGACTTTTTCAAATGAAAGTTAACAGTTTTAAAAAGAATGCAAGGTATGGGAGGCATTCTTGAGAGTGTCAATTTTCCTCTTGTCCAAAGATCTCAAAAGAAAATATTCTTGTTACTTGCCCCTTGTACTACTGCTTGGTTGCAGGGAATATACACTACTACTCTTCAGGCTCCAGAAAGTGCTTCAGAGTTTCAAGGGTAGGATAGCAGCAATGACTAATTTTAATAGGGAAGTACCCTGTACTTTCTTGACTATGAACCAGATCTAGCTTATTCTACAAACTTGGTTAAAATTAATTAAGACTTAGCATCATACCTGTCTTCTACCAATGCTGCCATTTGTGCCATAGTGCAAGAAATTCAGGTATAATTTTACAATTGCTTGGTGATTTAGTTCTTCTAAAGAAACAAGACAGAACCATGTTCAGGCACACAAACAGTTCTGTACTTGTTGGTAATATGCAAAATATATTTGGTAATATTCAGTACAAACATAAATTTTAGTTAATTGCTATAATTTTTAAATTATGGCCATCATGTATACACTGTATTGCAAAAAGATGAATGATGTTTAATATGATAAACATAATGAATAAGGAAAAAAAATCCCACATTTTTTAGCCAATTAAAGGATGCCTTAAATGGGAAAGACCGTGACCTTGCCAGTCTCCACCGCCAGTTTGATGCGGTACACTCAGAGCTTGGAGAAACCATCAGAGTGAAAGAAATGGCTCTGAAGGAAAACAGAAGATTACAGGATGATCTAGCTACAATGACTAGAGAAAACCAGGTATAAAATAATTCATAAAGCACATCGTGATTTGTTTTGTGCTACTAATTGTATGTACAAAGGATGTGATGTCGGAAACATCATTGTAACCAAAACAATGTCAACATTTAAAATAAAATATAGGTAGTCCTCACTTGATGATGATAACTGAGATTGACCATTCCATTGCTAAGCGATGTCATACAATGTGACATCATGTGACCACACCAACCTATGTGGCAGTCTCAGTTGCTGTGATTAGGCTAATCCTATGTGATCATGTGATCATCATTTGCCACTTCGTACCAGCTTCCCCATTGATTGGAAGTCGGCAGTGAAGGTCGCAAATGGCAATCATGTGACTGTGAGACACTGCTGTGTTATAATTGCAAGCTGGTTGTCATGTGCCCGAATCAAGATCAGGCTGCAAGAGCCATAACTAGGAAGATTGCCATAAATCCGCTGTGTTCGGCACCCTTGTAACAACTGAATGCTTGTGGTTGTTCAGTTTCAACTATCTCTATTACATATGGAGCGTAAAGAGTTTTTGTAAGCATTTTACTTTGTTCGTATTCCTGTTTCTTTTAGTTATAGATTCCAATATCATGCTCTCTAATACTACTATACATTAATATCCCAGGTTATCTTCCTAAAAAAAAGTACTTTGCTTGTAGGTTTGCTAAATTTTATAAGCTACTTAAAGCTCGAGTGCCAGATCTTTAAAAAGATGGATTGTTTAGAAACAATCTCGTCGCTTGATTATTAATTATCAAATAAATTACACCAATTGGGAATTGTGTGTGTTTGTAATAATAGTCCATTTAAAAAAAAAAGGTTTTCCTAATGTTTAATAGCAAACCTGAAGATTGAATGATTTTTTTTTTTTTTTAAAATTAAAGATTCTTCATATTTTCACCCAGCAGTCATGGACTGTGTACCTAGTGATGACCAGATATTCAGTTCTTTCACAGTAAAAGAAGAATAGAGACCAGTATAGCTAATTCTCATGGTCACGTGATAACATTTTGGGCCCTTGGAAACCAGCTTGTATTTACAATCATTTGCAGCATCTTGTGGTCACTTGACCACAGTTTTCAGCATTTTTTTGCTAGTTTCTGATGTTTACTTATGGTTTCTAGCAAAAAAACCCCACCAAGTTTAATGGATTCAGTTAATGACTGCAGTGTTCACTTATCACAGCAATCATTTAACAACTGCCACAAAAAAGCTTGCAAAAGCAAGCACAATCATAATGACCCACTTAACAATCACCTTGACTTATGACTATAATTCTAGGCTCAATTATGGTCATAAATCAAGGACTATCTGTGTACAACTCGTATCAAGTGGCTGTAGTGAATTCATGTTCCTTCCTCGCCTCTGACCACTCTTTTACTAGCATTCCAGCTGGAACATGTATTTCTTGGTTAGCTAACTGTAATAGCTAGACTGGAAATTCTCCTTTCCAGTTATTTTTTTCCAATGGTTTCAACCAGCTCTGAACGACAATATTTTATCCTATCATAGTTAAAACATCAGAGACTCATAGTTATTCTTCTTTATATTTTACTGGTAAAGATAAATCCCTTATGGCAACATATTTCACAATTTTTCCAGAAAAGATTCTCTAATGGCCTGCTTGTATGTATATCCCAGTTATGGGTATTTTTAATGGTGTGGTAACTGTTCTAGTTTAATCTTGACTACTACAAACATTGAATAATTATATCATTTGAAATATTTAATTAGGTATCAATTAAATTTTTTGAAGTGCCAAGTGCTAATACCAATATGGGCATTGCCAGTGCCAAGTATCAATGCCAAAATAGGCATTGTCCCAAATCTTCCATAAAGAAAATTACTTACCCATAGGTTGGAAATCACAAGATTGAATGCTGCTTTTTTTTTGGTGTTTTTAATCTGAATATGAGGAACTCATAACAAAGAGAAACGCTGTTACAAGCTGCCTCTCTATAATGGAATAGATCATATTTAATTGTACTGCTTTGTCATCAGGTGGTTTATTTATTTTGTGAGTAATATGTCTAACAGTATGTAATATAAACAGGTAATCTCAACTGAATTGGAAGTAACTTTACGTGAAAAAGAAGAACTGAAAGTTAGAGTTCATAATTATATTACTGAAGTCTCCAGATTTGAAAGTTTAATGTCCTTAAAGGTGAGAAATATTATGAAAATATTATTTTTTAATAAATCAATTTTGGTTTTGGGTTTTCAAATCATTATTGGCCACTGCAAGACTCCCAGCCATTACATGGAAAAGTCCATGCAGTTTCCTTGGCAACATTTTTAGAAGTAGTATACCATGGCCCAAAGTCACCCATGGCTTCATGTCCAAAGTAGGACTAGAATTATGGCCTCCCAGTTTCTAGCCTAGTGCCTTTAACTACTGTATAAAATGAAAAATAAAATATACCTTATTTAAGTGTTAAAAGTAAGCTGAAGTAAAGTAGCCAAGTTAGTACACAAAGAAAAATTCAACAATGAACTAAAGGGCCACCATCAGTGAGCTGTTGGACAGCATTACTTGGTCTGTTGTGTGGATGTTTGGGTGGTTTAGGGGTGGGGAATTGTGCTGAGTGGGAGTGTGTTTGGGGATTGTTATGTGTGTTGGACCTGGTCTTTGGGTGTTAAGTGAATTTCGTTGTATGGGTATACTATATATACACGTACAATGACAATAAAGTTGTTGTTGTTGTTGTTGTTGTTGTTGTTATTATTACTATTATTATTATTATTATTATTATTATTATTCAATCTATTCTTTAAGAGAAAAGAGTAACATTGAGGGAAATGTCCTTTCTTAGCCCTATAACATTTAAGCTACATTTCGCCGGGTTCTATCATTTCTAGGAAAGTTGGAGGGGTATTATTTAGAATTATCATTAGATTTAAAACAAATTGGGACTTTGTCACAAATGCACAACTGTGATTGAGTCATTGATATACACATACAGGTAGATATATCTGGGCATATATAGATGTCTAGGATAGTTGTATTTAAAACCTTCAGTATGTGAATAGCGTACATACATACAGATGATGATAATGATGTTATCCATTCAGTTGTGTTGGACTCTTAGCGATTCTATGGGCCAGGTTTCTCCATATCTTCTGATCTTGCACTTCTTTGAGTGGTTCTCTGCTCTGGCTGATGTCAGCTTTGATGGTGTCCAGTTACCATGTTCTTTGGTGGCCTGGTTTCCTTTTACCACAAACTCTTCCAACCATAATTGTTTTCTCAGTGAATTTCCCCACAAGACATGGCCAAAATAACTGAGACACTATTTTCTGATTTTGCCTTTCAGTGACGTGTCTGGTATTATGTACTCCAGTACTTGCTTGTTAGTCATTTTTGCTGTCCAAGGAATAGACAGGAGCCTTCTCCAGCACCACAGCTCAGACGAGTCAATTTTCTTCCTGTCTGGCTTTTTTAAGGTCCAATCTTCACACCCATAGGGGAACACAAGGGAGTTAACTACATACATTTAATTGCCAGGTTGATCTCCTTGCTTTTTTATACATACACCTAGACAACATCAAAAAAATCCAAATTATTTATTGTAAAATCAGTATAGAAAATTGATATAAAGTATTACATTCTTATGTATAATGATCAAATTGATGTAATATCTGTGTCAGGGTTCCAGGGCTGACAATTTGCCTCAAATCTTTTAAAGTGTTAACTGTAATAGTATAATCATTTAATCTTGAAGTTATCTCAAATTGAAAATAACACATATTCAGGTTTCTTCAGTGGAACAAATTGCTGACAATTTCTAAACAGAAGAGAGGCGGAATAGTAGCTGAGACATTTGTTTCAGCGATTTATTGCTCAGTGGATATATTTTCTCTTAATACTAGGAAAGAGAAAATAAAGAATTATTGGAGAAGTTCCAGATGCTTCACAGCCAAGCCGAAGATTGGGAAGTAAAGGCTCATCAAGCTGAGGGACAAAACAGCTCTGTACGATTAGAGCTCCTTTCGGTTGATACTGAACGAAGACACCTTAGAGAAAGAGTAGAATTATTGGAAAAAGAAATTCAAGAGGTAATTATAAAATTATAGCTTCCTAGACCATTTTAATGTGCTTTTCTTAATCAAATACCTTGACATTAATTGGAAATTTGTACAAGGAGCAGATGGCATTAATCATCTGTATGGTCTCAAGGGGAAAACTAATTTCAGATTTATGCCTGCTCTTGCCCAGTACTTGTTAAGTCTTGCAAATGGTTGTAAATGTATTTTGGAAGGAAAAAAAAATACTTCCAAGTCGATATGTTTTTTTGTTTGTTTCCAAATAACTGAGTACAATAGGAAAATGTAATAGGAACACCTCATCTGTGCTTGTAAAAAGAGCTACTTTTGTCTTTCACATAGCACATCATTGCACATCAAACATATGAGTCGCAAATTTCTTCAATGGCAAAAAATATGGCCAAGCTGGAAGAAATTCTCAGACGTGAAAAAGAAGAAAAATCTTCAATAAATCACGATGTGTCTGCTGTTAGAGATTTATGTGTCAAACTGGAATCTAGCAAAGATCTGCTCTCACGTCAATTAACATCCAAATCTCTGGAATTTGAAAGGGTAAAAGAGAAAAAACGTTGTTCTTACAGGAGATATATATATATAAATCCATTTTTTATTTAAGGTAAAATGTTGACAGTAAAATAAATAGATATATACTCTTAAGGTAAAAAAAAATCATCCTCAAGCCACTGTGGCTTGAAAATCCGCCCTGGGAAAGATGGGAGGAAAAGCATATGGAAGGGCTTAATGGAGAGGTGGACAGGAACAGCGAGCTTACTTAGTTACTGTGAGGTTATTTATTTAATAAATTCTTTTTATGCTCTAGATTATGTCTGAATTTGAAGATACAAAGTCAGAAACAGAGCTGTTAAAAAAGCAACTGTCAAGTGAGCGACTTACAATACAAAACTTGGAAACCCTCTTGTCTACCAGCAGAGACAAAGATTTTCAGAACCATTTGATAACCCATGAAAAAGATTCAGAGATACAATTGCTCAAAGACAAGTTAACACTCTCGGAGAGTAAATTGTATGTTGTAAAGTATAAAATGAACAGTTTTATAATATTTTTCTTTCAGCTGTTTGTAATTTAGGGCAAAAATATCTCCATTCTTGAAAAAATAATATTTTTTTTTACATAATGAAATCCAGATTTTCTAATTAGTAATGTGAGAAGGGTTTTGTAAGAAACAACGGGCTTCAAATATTTCCCCTGGAATTGCAATTTGCTTAACTTGATTGAAAGATGAAATTACCCATCTTTGGTTTATGTGTTTCTTTCATGAAAGTATGCTTATTTTCCTACCTTGCATGTACCCTTTATAAGATATAATATAAGATAAGATAAGATATAATATGATAAAACAACAAATGTCAATCTGTATTCTTCAGGCTGAAGAATGAAAAAAAAATTAGATCAGTGTTTTAGAAACTTAGCAACCTGATGATATTTTGACTTCATCTCCAGAATTCCTTAGTCAGGATGAGTTGGGAATTCTGGGTGTTGAAGTCCACACATCATAAAGTTGCCAAGTTTGAAAAACACTGTTTTAGATTATTACAATTGTCACTACAAATGCATGTAGTACTGCCTATTAATATGCAAGTATCTCGTTCATTATGGCCCCTTGGAAATTCAAAGATTGCAATACCGAAGAAATTCTATATGTCAAATGGATGCACTGTTTTAAGTTTTAGGTGAATGCATTCCCAAATATACATATTTTAAGTAGACTGTTTTGTGGTAAATTGGTGGGTTTTTTTATTTTAAGAACTTTTTTGTATGTGGATGCCCAAATATGGGTATATTTTCTTAATTTCTAGGTCTCTGTTTATCTGTTTGCAGCTATTTTTAAAGTTTTTGTACAATGCCATCTGTGAACGTGTAATAGATATTTTTCTCTTTGTTTTACAATATTTTTAGAACAAGCCTTAGTAGAGAAGTTTCTATACTGCGAAATAAGCTTACACAGCTGCAGACTGATTATGATATTGTGAAAAGACAGCTGACAACAGAGCAATTTGAACGGTATGTGAATTAGCTTCATTAAAAAGGCAACTGTTCTGAGTCCCCATGTAAGGAGGAAACCATAAAAGCACGCTTTATAGTGTTGCACAGAAAGTATTAAAACTGGTTTAATAATTAATTTTCAATTCTGTTTCTTAGTTATACAATCTATTTCTTACCCTTCTTTCCGTACTATTGCGGTTTACAACCTAAAAAGCAAACAAGGGGCATATTCAAAATGTGTTATATTAAATATTACCATTTAAAATAAACTAGTGTCTATCAGTAAATACCACAAGACCTTTCAGTTAAGCATCTGTGGAAATTAATACGTTTAAAAAAAAAACAACCTCTTAAATTGGGAACAAAACCGTGATCAATCATTCGTCGCTTAGATTGAACAAGGCTTCCTCCCAGTAACCAAATAGTTTGCCAGTGCAAATAGCATCGGGAAACCAACGATTTGCTGGTTTCTGCACGTAGCTGATTAACAGGCTGGCAGGAGGGCACTTTTAGTGCTATCTGCTGAGGATCCGTTCTTAGATTTACTGCAAGTAATGATGCTTGTTGCTTCCTCCTCCCTTCATTTAATATTTTTCAGGTTCATTAGGAAAGAGAAAGACAGGGACATTTAAGACATTTAGGCACATCTCCCAGCCAAGCAATGAATATAGGAAACCTGAAGTTTACCAGATTTCTGCTTACAACACCTTTATACCAATCCTTCTTGTCCTAGCCAGGAGAAGAAAAAAAATTCACTTCACTTTGAAATCAGATCTATCTTAGAAATTGATGGAGTTGGCTGATTCGCAGAATTGACTACTTTGATTAAAGAAAAGAACATAAGCACTTTTGTTTCCACATGGAAACTTTGTGCTTGATGTGGGAAAAGAATGAAAATTTGACTTTGGGTTTTACCGATTAGACCGATAGATCTTTATAGAAATGGCTTGTTCATATTATTATGAAAAAGCAAAAAGTTGTGATTTGATGTTAATGCCTTGTTTTACTGTAACAGAGAGAGTCGGAAGTCAATGCTTCTTTGTCTTCTTTTTCTTATCTTTCCTCACTTCTCCTTTCCTTTTCTCCCCCCACTGCTTTTCTATTTATTTTCTATTTTGTATTTTATAATTCAATTAAAAATGTTGACTGGAAATCAGATCTATCCTTATTAAGCTCTTTTCAACTAATTTCTGTACCACCTATAGTCTACAGGTAGTTCTCGACTTATGACCACAATTAAATCCAAAATTTCCATTGCTAAGCAAGACAGTTGTTAAGTGCACTTTGTCTCATTTTACAACCTTTCTTGACACAGTTGTTAAGTGAATCACTGCAGTTGTGCAACACAAGTGTTAAGTGACTATGGCTTCCCCCTTGACTTTGCTTGTCAGAAGGTCGCAAAAGGTGATCACATGACCCCGGGACACTGCAACCGTCATAAATATTTGTTTTTTTTGCAGTTGCCAAGCATCTGAATTTTGATCACGTGACCATTGGGATGCTGCAATGGTCATAAGCATGAAAAATTGTCATTTGTTTCAGAGCTGTTGTAATTTCAAACTGCCACTGAACAAATGGTTGTAAGTTGAGGACTACCTGTATTATCTAGAACAGGGGTGTCAAACTGGCGGCCCGCGGGCTGGATGCGTCACATTCAGGCCACGCCCACCCCAGCACCATGAAGGGGAAAAATGTCACGAAACTTCACGTGACAGCAATGTGATGCCGCGAGGTTTGACATCCGTGATCTAGAGTTACTAGAAAGGAAATTCTGACTGAACATTAAGAAAAACAAAATTCTAACAGCTAGCAAAGAAAATAATTTTTTTTAAAAAAGTGATTCCAATTTATTGTGTAGAAAAATGGTGAACCATCTTGTTTTCTGCATGAGAAAATATTTGGAAGTACAGCTTGAATTCAGTTGTAATTTTCTACTTGGTAGGGAACGGGCCATTCAAGAGATGCGAAGGCTTGGCTTCACTGCCTCTTCTCTCCCCACCTCTTCACCGCTTAGCTCAACTTTGAGATCCCCATCACATTCTCCAGAGAGGGCATTTTCAGGAACAACAGAACGAACAGAAAAGTAAGTAATTAAATCAGTAGCTTAGGCCTTTGTTTGTTTTTTAGGCATATGGTTAATTGAGATAATATTTCAAAATTCTATGTGAGATTGGATCTGTATTTTGCATTTTTTCCCAGAGACAAAGTACTTTTAGAAAGTTAAGCTCTGAATCTTAGTAGTTACCATTTTTAATGTGGGAGAGATGAGGGCAGGTAGATAATTAATACCTACTGGGTGCTTTTGTGTTATTAAAATCATGTGAGTATGGCTATTTTGAAGATAGTTCTAATCTAACATGATCTAACGAGGCACAAAGTATACATTCTGAAAAACACAATATTCTAAGATTATTAATTCTTAATCGGCATGTTTTCAATATAATCATTCCATTTTCTTTCTTCTTAGAAATGTGGGCTTCAAGGATTAATCTGTTACTTTAAAAGCAGAACAATAATGGGATGTTTCCATGTTTGGACTCACTGTCAGCGTTGACATGAATTCTACCTCTAAAATGTTAAATAATTAACACTAGGATTATTGAAACAACAAGAAGCTGTGTGGGAGCACTTAGGATGTAAATCAAACTTTGCAACATTCTGCTATCACACATAGGCTGGGTTGGTTTTTAATAATTCTGATAAGTTTGCCCTGCAGTTTAAGACTAAACATCTGAATTGGTGGTAATAGTATGGTTTGTAATTGTTACCTCTTCTTTCAAGATTATTTATTTTCAGTTAATCAGCTATGGTCTGTAGTTGCTATTGACTGCAAAACAGATAAATATGGAAGAAGAAAAGTCCTTTAATCATGAAATATATCTGTTATTCAGGTTGTTTTTATACCAGTAATTTTATAAAATGTGTGTATGTATGTATAAATAAATTATGCAAAGTTTAATTTAATAATGTCCTTTAACCTGAGTACAAATGTTACATCATTAGTTAAAAGGCGTCTTTTAAATGTTATCTCTAAAATGAAGTATCTCTGCATTTTAAAAATGGTTTTATATTAAAAAACAAATTTATATACATTAAATTATGATAGTATAAATAATGTTAATATCATGTCTGTCTCAAGAGTCATCTAGCAATGTTGTTCCTTTCTTTAAAGTTCGGAAATAAAGTTTGAGGAATTGACACACCTGAGTTCCAGCTTTTAAAGACAAAATGAGGCAGTTTAAAATACAAAACTAATTAGGTAAGAATGAATTTTATTGCAAGGAAACTAATGTTGTAGTTTTTGTCACAATATAGTAACAAGTTGTCAGATACAGTACAGTACATTCCTTAATTGACAAAGCTTTGTACCATCTTGATATTATCAATAAGCAATCTGCACAAAGCACTAAAACATTTAACATCCAGAGCTATTTTGGGCATAACTTGACTATGTTTGTGGATATTTTATTAAAAGAACACAATTTCAATTACTGAACAAAATCCATGAATTAAAGCAGCAGGAACATTCTTGGGCCATCTGTGTAACCAAAAGTTCATGGAATTTTGGACTGGGGTATATATGCCATAATAATAGCTGTTATTTTATAGCATTAATTTTGGATTATGTTGTTACTAATGTACTTGATATCACTAAGAAGACGATACTAAAGATATTATGATTAAATAAAGTAATTTCAGTTTTCGAGGAATAGTTGCAGATTGATTTATATCCTTTGAAGAAGAAATATATTTTCCGGTTCTCCTTATAGACACTGGCAAGAAGAACAGAAAATGCCATTCAACAGAGAACGACAAGCCAATTCCTAAATGTAGTGAAAGCTTATTATAATAAAGTATATACATAAACTGGAACAATGGTCTCGGTAGAAGAATTCAAAACATACAGTTTTAAGTACTGATTGATAATTCACATGGTATCATTTTATGTCACTCCTGTTCTTAAAAATTAAAAAAAAAAATCATTAGTGTTTTTTAATATGCCATACAATTAAGGCCAAACTGCCCATCCAGGCCCATTTTAAAGCCTCCTTTGTCATGGTGATCTTTGCTGATGTTAAAATAGGAGGAACTATCCCATATAAAACTCTTAACATATTTTTTTTTTAATGCAAAGTCTACTTTTCTCCCATTAAAGAAAAATCTTGAAATTGGTCTCACCAACCAGATGTTTCTGGTTAAATGTCCTACTACCTTGTTAAATCAAAAGAATTAAGTGTTATCTCTCTTAAAAAAATAATAATAATACCTGCCTCCTACTGTATAATGTGGGAATGACTTTGGGAGACAGGACAATGAGATAAAACCAAGGTCAGATAAAAGGCAAGAATGTGGGTGGGACAATAGGCTCAGAAGAGACCCTGGTTTGTTTTGCAAATGGGATGGGAGGAGAGAGAGAAAATTACTTTCAGACTTGCAACCTTCTGTTAACGTAACCTTACAAATGAGTACAATTAGCTCGCGTGGCTGCATTTTGTGTCTGGTCTACAATGAGGCTGACCTAACATGAAAAGTGACATGAGAATTAGTTGATAACTTTTGAAAAAGAGGTTCCTTCCCTTGTGCAGGAGCTGGATCTAGTAATTTCTGTTGGTCCTCCAAGAATATGGGCAGTGATCTCAGATCAGACTAGAATACGTTCTCAACCCACTAAAGCAGGGGTGTCAAACTCAATTTCACTGAGGGCTGCATCAGGGTTGAATTTGACCTCGGGGGCCAGGGTGGGTGTGGCCAGCTCGACGTCACTTGTGTCGGGGACTTCGGTGGTGGCCCGAGCACTCTGCCAGTTAAAACAGGCTCCTGAGCATTGTTTTCAGCTGTGATGGCCTCCTGCCGCCCTCTGCCAGTGAAATGAATACATAGGTTTATTGCAAACTGAATCTCTCTACAAGAATCTGAACTACTAACAATCAAAGCAAATTGGTAGTAGATATGAGTCAACAAAATTCAAGGTGGGCTGAATTTAGACTGAATCTGTTGTATGTGGAAAGGGGCTCGAAGCTGATGAAGCTGGTCATCTACAAAAACTAGGGATTGGAAAATTCCTAGCATTTACCTCTTAAAACCAGGCATTCTGATCAGACATGGTTTAAACCACTGAAAGATATAGCTGGATTCCTAGTAAAGTAAAACTTTATCAGCAAACATTCAATACTTGCTATTCACCTTTTAAAAATACTAATTTTAAAGGCAAGCCAAGGTTCCTTACCTGTAACTTTGATTCTCTTTAATAGTTTATTGGTGGAAACCTTTCCTGACGAAAGCAAGATCAAATAAGTACAATGCTCCATATAATTTATAATGGTACTTAAACACTTTTGTGAACCCTTGTTCAATATTTCTACATAAATATAACCTACAATGTAATCTGTTCTCCATACTAGTCCTAAAACTACAAAATGGAAACCAAATCAAAACAAATGAGTTAAAAATATTTATGCAATGAAAACTTTTCAACTTAAGACCAAGTTGAAAATGACACAAACATCTGATTATAAATGAACAGTACCAATTTGATTGGCATGCACAGATGCACTTTTAATAAATAGAGTGAAATTGCTTTAATATAGTGGACCAAATTTGAAGGGTTCTACACAGAAATAGGCTCAGTGGCTAAGATACTGAGCTTGCCAATCAAAAGGTCGGCAGTTCAGCGGTTCGAATCCCTAGTGCTGCATAACAGGGCAAGCTCCTGTTACTTGTCCCAGCTTCTGCCAACCTAGCAGTTCAGAAGCATGTAAAAAAATGCAAGTAGAAAAATAGGGACCACCTTTAGTGGGAAGGTAACAGCGTTCCGTGTGCCTTTGGCGTTTAGTCATGCCAGCCACATGACCACAGAAACGTCTTCGGACAGCACTGGCTCTTCGGCTTTGAAACGGAGATGAGCACCGCCCCCTAGAGTCGGGAACGACTAGCACATATGTGCGAGGGAACCCTTTTTACACAGAAATGGTTTTTTCATAGCTCCAACATATAGTTTTGTTTTTTTTTTAATTTGATTTATATGCTGCCCTTCTCCGGAGACTCAGGGCGGCTTACAATGCGTTAAGCAATAGCCTTCATACTTTTGTATATTTATACAAAGTCAGCTTATTGCCCCCACAAACTGGGTCCTCATTTAACCTACCTTAGAAAGGATGGAAGGCTGAGTCGACCTTGAGCCTGGCAAGATTCAAACCTGCACTAATTGCAGGCAGCTGTGTTAATAACAGGGTGCTTTAAACCACTGTACTACCAAGGCTCTGCTTTCTTTTATAGCACCAAGGAAATTTACCTTTGGCAAGTGTATGTTACCTATATTCTTACTGCACTGCAGAGGAGATGAATTCTGGTATTCATTATATACCTGGATCTGTGTGTTTTTTTAAAAAAAACAGACATCACCCATAGTAACAAGTTCCATCATCTAAGTCTCTTACATGGTTTTCTCCAAAAGTCAGCCAAAACAACAGGTGAATGTGGATTCAGGCCCTTGGATTTAAACCAATTTGATGGTTAGAGAGATTTTAGTTGTTGATACTCTTTTTTGTCTCTGTGCCACTTCTTATCTTTCAAGGAATGACATGCTTAAGCGCATTAGCAGTAGCTGCTGATTGGATTGACTCCGGGGAGTTTACCAGCAATTCTTTGAAGACTCCTTCCTTTGATAGAACACAGACCACAGAATAATAGAGTTGGAAGGGACCTTGGAGGTCTTCTAGTCCAACCCTCTGCTCGAGCAGGCAACCTTACGCCAGTTCAGATAAATGATTGTCTATACCATTTCAGATAAATGATAAATTTCAGATAAAAACTTCTGAAGTACCATTCCTGAACGGAAGGCACAACGGCTGCTGCCTGTACTAAGTTCAGAAAAGTACCCTCCTGAGACCCAGCTAGCCACTTTAAACTCTGCCCGGTGGTTTCAGAAGTCATGTGAAAGGAAGATTGTTGAAGCAAATTGCAAGTTCTGTGCAAAGGCAAAGTCACATACCAAGGTCACATACCAGGTGAGGCCTGACAGAAGGGGTTCCACTTTCCTTCTGGAAATTTGGACAAATTGAACTTCCACGCTGTGAATATTTCTGTCTGACCAAATCCTGCTGGTGAGAAAGTATTTTAAGAAAAGAAAATATTTTTTTTGCTCTAAATTGCTGATTTCTCTGGAGCTCAGTGAAAATCCTGAGTTTTGCTGTCACCAAGATAAAGGAATATGGAAGGCTAGATGGACATTTTCCTTGGAAAAGCTTCTCTTCAAAAGACCAGAGGTGGGTTTCAGCAGGTTCTGACCAGTTCTGGAGAACCGGTAGAGGAAATTTTGAGTAATCCCAGCTGATCAGGAAGAAATGGAGATTTTGCAGTAACCTTCCCCTGGATTGGGGAGGGAATGGAGATTTTACAGTATCTTTTCCCTGCCATGCCCACCAAGCTATATCATGCCTACCATGCCACACCCACAGAACCGGTAGTAAATTTTTTTGAAACCCACTACTGCAAAAGACCTTATAAAAGATAGAACGACCTGGCAATATAAGTTCAATACAGACACACTTATATATTACGACTAATAGTCCTTGATAAATATATCATGCATTGAAGTGTCAGGGCTTTGTATAGCCTAGATCAGGGGTCTGCAACCTTAAATACTCAAAGAGCCATTTGGACCTGTTTCACACAGAAAAGAAAACACCGGGAGCCACAAAACCTGGGTGGGCGTGGCCAACTCAATGTCACTCACTTCCACCAGTCACATGACCCTCTAGCCATGCCTACCCAGCCAGTCATTAGGGCAGAGAACCTGTTAAAAAACACTGGGAACCACAAAATCCTTTTGACATCTCTCTCTCTCCCCTCTCTGCCTCTCCCTCTATCTCTCTCTCTCTCCCCCTCTCTCTGTATCTCCCTGTCTCTCTCTCTCCCTCTCTATCTCTATGTCTCTCTCCCCCCCCCCCTCTGTATCTCTGTGTCTCTGCCCTGGCTGCTTCTCCATCCCCCACCGTCACCCTTACCTTCTCAGGCCAGGTGAGGAGTGACTGGGAGGGGAGGGCAAGGGGTGGGGCCAGCCAGTGGTGGGATCACCTGACAGGGAGCCACAGCAGGGGGCCCAAAGAGCCGCATTGCGGGTTGCTGATCCCTGGCCTAGATCAGTGTTGATGAACCTTTCTGGCACCGAGTGCCAAAACGGGGGCGCGTGTGTGTGCCAGAAACCAGAAGAGCAGCCACCTGGTGCGCAGTCATGCGCCAGGAAGATGATTTTCTGGTTTCTGGCATGCGCATATGCACTGGCCACCTGGTCTTCTGGTTTCTGGCACACGTGCGCATGCAAAGATCAGCTGGCTGGTGCACATGCAGATACTGGAAACCGGAAGATTATTTTCCCAGTGCGCACATGCGCACTGGGCGGCTGCTCTTCCAGTTTCCGGCGCTCCCGTGTGTGTGAAGACCAGCTGGCTGGTGCGCCGGAACTCGGAAGAGCAATGGGTGACGACTCGGATGGCTGGATAGCTCTGTGTGCCACTTCCAGCACGTGTGCCGTAGGTTCACCATCACAGGCCTAGATATAATACTTCTGTTTAATGTTGGAATTCCTCTGTAGAATAGAGGCTGAAACTTCTTGGTTGGGAAGCAGAGCTGGGTTTCAGCAGGTTCTGACCAGTTCTGGAGAACCGGTAGCAGAAATTTTGAGTAGTTAGAGAACCGGTAGTAAAAATTC